GTCCATTTAAAATCCAAACTACACCAGCTCTACTACTACTCAAACGAACTCTTTAATAGTTTTCATTTAGGAATTTGTCATCTCCATCATCAAAGAAAAAGGAAAAAACCTTTAACATCAAAGTTGGGAGAACATAGAACAATCAAACACTTACAAAAGCTAAATTCAATCTCAAAAACTATGCCCTACATCTCTTACTAATGCTTCCATGTTTTCGATCTGTTCCCCAAATGCACATTTTTCTCTTCGTCCTCTTATTGCCTCTAATTTCTCTGTTTCTCACAGCTTTATTCTATCACTACAAGTAGAGCATTATTTTGTTATAGAAGAGAAAAGAGGTTAATTGAGCAACATAAAGAGAGTCTCCAACAAATATGACACTACTTTAGGCCAATTATGCATTGAAAAAGCCTAGAATAACAAACATGTCATAAACAGGACTACTGATTATGGATCTTTTACATCCCTAGATGTAATTAACGTTGCATCCTTGAACACCAAATCCTACAATAAGTGTACTGTCAGTTGCTTCAGTTGCACATCACTTGCATTAATTATTGGTGACTCACCTCCGCGTTTTACATTGGTATTATCCTCACTGCTGTTCCCCCTTTATCCAATCCATCTTAACAACTACCAAATATCACCCCTCTCATTCAAGTCCTATAGACAAATGACCTTCCTCAAGTCGTATCGAAATCAAAATGGGCATTGATTCCAGCACTACAAACTAATGCCAGTGCTCAAACTAACAATTTCCAACCTTTCACAACACAATAACAGTAACCAACTAATCTAACATTTAGCGAAAGTAAAAAATAGACTTCACTGATGAATATTCCTACAATTCCACAGCAAGTATCTATCACCAAACGTTTACAAAAAATCAATCTCCCCATTCATTCACATCCTAAATCCCTAATACAAATACAAAAAATGAAATTTCAAAGCCTTCCATCAAGATTTACAATTACAATTTCCAGAAATAATATATCACAAGTGAAAAAAAATGTACTAAAACAATCACAGAAAATGAGCAAGAACATATGTAACACAGTGCAAACACAGCAAGTCAATAACATAAACGGACCAAACGTGCGTTTCAGTTTGCTGAATGAACCAAGTGACGAGACAAACAGAGTAAGTAAAAAACATGGAATTGAATTTTGCATACTAAAACACGGGAAAAGAAAACGAGACCACTCACACGTAGAGTTTTCATCTGTTTTGAACAATGGGAACGAAAAATTGGTTAACTTACCTGAGAGAGCAGAGAGAAGAGAAGGTGATATTTTTGTTGCCACCTTCAGCCTTTAGGCTTTAGTTTGAGTTGATAGTTTTGTTTTTAATGAAATGCACGGAAGCAACGTGTCCACCGCCTCCGCTAATTCCAGACACCTGTCCGACACGCGGTTATGTAAAGCTGTTGCCAAATCTTGGAATACCAACGGACATATATCGTAAAATTAAAATTTATTTCATATTTTATTTTCATTTTATGTCTTAGATTTTATATTAGAATTATGAAAATATTTGTAATTTTTAAATTTATAATGAATATATTGAATGAGTGTTAAAAGGTTTTTTCTTTTATAATTTTTGTGTTGATGTTATTGGCCCATCATTATTGAAAAAACCCCATTAATAGGAAATAATATATATATACTAATTGGTCATTACTTTTTTTTCACTAGCCATCGCAAAATAAATAAATAAAACCCACCCCTTTTCCCTACACTATCACACCTATATCTTCCCGTGAAAAGCTCGTACCTTCTCCCTGCCCTAATTCATTAGCTAAAAAAACCAATTGAGAAATGCAACATTGCCACTGAATAGACATGATGAAGGTCACTTGGGAAGCTACTATTAGAGTTCGATCCAGACTGAGTAGATATAATTAATCCGCTTTGGCCTAACCTGCACAAATTTGCTATTTGGACTTTACACTAACATTCTTTATTCAAAAATGCGCATATTATGTTAAAACAATTCACGACCTATAAATTGAATCCAAGCTCCATTCTTTAGTGATGTTAGATGTGGCAAATTCTTTTTCTTTTGAATTACAAGCTTTTTTTGTATACCATTTATAAACAACTTGAGCCTAAACCAATAGACGTTATCCACTTTGGGATCATTCATTTAAATTACATCTATTACTACTGAGTTTAGGGAACCTAAGACTTACAATACAATTTGGGTTTATCCCCTAACTCCCATGGTCCCATAACACAACATCTCTTCATCCCACTTCTTGCACAAACATTACATACCATAATTCAAGAACTCAAAACTCTCAACATTACGTGTATTGTATGAGATTTGAAATTTTTTTTTTTCTTTAAAAAATTATCAAATAGATTGTTAAACTCCTATTTCTTTATCTTATGGATTGCTAATAAGTCAATTTTCATGTGAACATTTTAATTCAACTTAAAGTAAGACTTGAAATTAATTGAGTATTCATGTTCAAATAAAATAAACAAGTGGCGTTTATTGATTTGCTGATTTCAATAATTTATTCAATCTTGTTACAAGCTCCACGTTCCATCATTCCAGAATGTTAGATGACAATTAAGCAAAGTTCGATGTTGTTCATGGAATATGAATAGAATACGTGCCTATTGAAATATCCTTCATATGTGTGCTTTGCCATAAGTATACATGTTTAACCAAACACAAGTATTAATTTATACTCTCACTAATCTTGTAAAGAGCATTTCAATAAAATAATACCTAAATATTTTGTAATTATTGTCTACAAAGCACATTAATTATTTATACAGTCCACACGAATCAAACACAAAAATAATTTATACTCATTAATCTTTAAGGTAACATATCTCACTAGTAACCTTATCTCTTTGATAATAAAGCATTGTCCGTACTAAGTGCACTCTAATTGTAACCCTGGAATGACAGCATATCATCTGTATAGCCCTTAAATTTCCTCGATAAAATACCAGCTAAAAATGATTACCATTTAGGTAAACTAAATACGAAAAGTTTTAGTATTATATTCAATGTAATTGACTAACTTTATTTTCTTTAATCGTATCATAATAATGGTGAAGAGAAGAAAGAGTTTGATTACATCGTCTACTCAATTTAAGAAACGATGATGTTTTCAGTCCCTATATGCAATAAACCAATCCAAAACATGCATTGCTGAAGAAATTGACCGAACAACTTAAAGCATGACCTGTCGTAAATAAAGAATTATCTACTTTTACAATACAATACACTTGTATGGAAGACTAGGTTAAGATTGCATAGTAAATAATCATCAGTGGCACCAATAATTAGGACAAGGCAACAATTTGAAAGTGGGAAAGACAAATGGCAAACATTGTGATGAATAAATATATAAAACAAATACTAGATATAAAAATTGTGACATCCGAATGGTTTTCCAAAACAACTTGAGAATTAAAATGGCATTAGGCAATCGGAGTAATAATTTCCATAATAGTATTTTGTTGGGCACGAAAAAAGTATTGTATGAAAAAAAAAATATATATATATATATATATATATATATTAAAATAGAGAGAGAGAGAGAGAGTCATTTTTGGAAATGCCCCATTGCTGGAATCTACAATTGCAATGGAGACTCTTGTTGATAGGCTAAGACTTGTTCAGAGTTTCCTCCATTCAAACTCCACTCGCCATTTCTTCTTCTGACTCCTCTCTTGCAGAACCCTGAAGCTCAGCTCCCAGGCCCCTACACCAAAAAATTAAAACACAAGTCTTGCAAAAACTGTGGGCACAAGAGACTCCATAGTCCATACTTGTAAAGGAAAAAGTAAAAATAAAAAAGGGTCCATAATCCATACTTATTCAGGAAAAAGTAAAATAAAAAATGATTGCTTTTAGAACACAAAGGATATTAGAAAACAAAAGATTTACTTATTTTGATGCTTATTAATATGCAGAAATACAATTTTTAACGTATCAAAATACTAAATTTTTTGCCTTTTAGTATCCTTAACTTATGCATGCACACGTTAAAAACAACCTAATAAAAAATCACTATTGGAATACTAGGGTTTAATAATATTATTATTGGTTAAATTTAAAAGACCAAAGTCCTAATCCAAAACAGTAACTATGCAGAGCACAAAAGGCATGTCCTTTTTTGAAAACCTACTAAAGGAATGAGTAAAGATATAAAACAAGTTGAAGTTAGAGATATAAAAGGTTGAAATCAGACCAAAATCTAAATGATAAATGGGGAGATTTGATGTCATTGTAGCAGAGTCAATAGCTGCCAAGTTTCCCACAAGCATAAACTCATGAACTTCATGTGCCTATGGACCCACTCCTCACACTCACCTTTAAAACGATGCAAACTTGGTAGGGGCCGTCCCGTCTATACCGGATAATCCATTCTTCTTATTCCACACTATCTGACAACACAACTCTTGGGAAAATTGATTGCAGCTTCAGCCCTTCTGACTTCAATATAAATGTTTAACCGTTAATAATTAAAGGATTTATAATATTTATACGGATACAATATTTTTATACAATATTTCTCTATATTTAAGTTTAGAGAACCAAACCATTGTTTCACTTCCCAAAAGTTAAAAATTATAGAGCTTGGTAGAGAGTTCAGACTCAGTACTGAAACCGGACTTACAAAGCAAATGCAAGAAGATCTCTGGATTCTTAAATCAAAATAGTGTGGGAGAAAGTACCAAAGATACGTAAAATCTTCCGAAGAACTTTCTTCTGACCTTTATCTGCTTAACGTTGGAAACCAAAAAGGTGGGCCAAAAGAAAATCTTGAACCCAAGAGATTATAATATTATACAGTCTAATATACGGATTTAACCAGTAAACATATGGCAGTTTGACTATGCCGCCCAAAATCCTCCCTTTAAATTCTCCTCTGTGCCTTTCATTTCCACTCTATACATCTTCTTTTACTTTTCCCAACCAAGAACAACACAAAGAAAGTTCTCTCTCTCTCTCTCTCTCTCTCTCTCTCTCTCTCTCTCACACCATAAGCCAGAGAAAATGGGGTCACCACTTTCTGGCTTTCTCAAACAATACAACACTGTATCTCTCATGATTTTTATGATCTTCTTCTTGAGCTCTATTCCTAACACAACGAACCTTTCTTTTAATCTCTCTTTAGCTACCACCACAATTCAAACTCATTCTTCTTCCTCCAACATCCCTTTCTCATTAAAACAACTGCCTCTGGATGGCTACCTTAGCTTTCAAGATATGCATCATGCAGCTCAAGACTTTGGCAATACTCACCATTTCCAACCATCAGCAATTCTATATCCTAAATCAGTTTCTGATATTTCCTCAACAATAAAGCATATTTATCATATGGGTTATGCTTCTGAGCTCACAGTGGCTGCTAGAGGCCATGGCCACTCCCTTCAAGGCCAGTCACAAACTCAAGGAGGTGTAGTTATCAACATGGAATCACTCCAAGAACCACTTATGGAAGTTCACCCTCTTGAACTGCCGTATGTGGATGTTTCCGGTGGTGAGTTGTGGATTAATATTCTGCATGAGACTCTTAAACATGGGCTCTCACCAAAGTCTTGGACAGATTACCTCTATCTCACCGTCGGAGGCACGCTATCGAATGCCGGAATCAGTGGTCAGGCATTTCTCCATGGACCCCAGATCAATAACGTTTACCAGCTGGAGGTTGTCACAGGTATGTTCAAGCAAACTAAATATCTCCCAATAGCTGAAAATCATAGCCCATCCAAGACTGAGGTATTGAACACTTGTCACTTCAGCCAAAGACAAGGATGATATGGTAATTTGATTATTTTGAATATGGTGAAATGACAACTGTACCATCCATCCCTAGCTATGAGAAGCCCTTAATGGTGAATTAATGAAAGCTAGACTAAATGCAGGATGTTTTTGACCCCTAAGTTCCAACAAGAAGAATAGCAAAACAGAGAATATAGCCATGAATAAATCCAATTTTGAGACTTTGGGTTTGGGTGCAGGAAAAGGAGACGTGGTTACCTGTTCGGAGAAACAGAACACTGATCTCTTTTATGGTGTTCTTGGAGGACTTGGACAGTTTGGCATCATTACCAGGGCTAGAATCTCCCTTCAACCAGCACCAAAGATGGTTAGAACAAATACCATTTCTTAAAAAGTTTAATACACAAAAATGAATCTTTATGACTTAATTTAACTTATCTTCACAGGTGAAATGGATTAGAGTACTCTACTCAGAATTCTCATTATTTTCCGAGGATCAAGAGCATTTAATATCATTGGAGAAGTCGTTCGACTACATCGAAGGATTTGTTCTAATAAACAGAACCGGCTTCGTTAATAACTGGAGATCATCCTTCAATCCCAAAGACCCAGTTCAAGCCAGCCAGTTCATTTCAGATGGAAAAGTTCTTTACTGTCTAGAGTTGGCTATATATTTCAACCCAGAGGAGACTAATGCTATGAACCAGGTAAAACTTGCTAAGAAATTGTTCCCATTCCAATAACATTATGGTTCTGTTAAAGGTTTCAATGCCGATCAGTAAGTTTTACTCATCATGATGCAGAAAGTTGAAAGCTTATTATCAGAACTGAGTTTTATACCATCCACACTCTTCCTATCAGAGGTTTCTTATGTAGACTTCCTGGATAGAGTGCATACGTCAGAGATAAAACTCAGAGCACAAGGATTATGGGAGGTTCCTCATCCTTGGCTGAATCTTCTCATCCCAAAAAGCCAAATCTCATACTTTTCTCAAGAGGTCTTTGGTAACATTCTTAAAGACAGCAATGGACCTATCCTTATCTATCCAGTCAACAAGTCTAAGTACTCTATCAACAAATTCTGTCAATTCCTAATACAGTTTCCAGGTTCATATTTTGAACCTAGTTTATCTTTTATGTTGCAGGTGGAACAGGAAAACATCTTTTATTACCCCAGATGAAGATATTTTCTACCTAGTGGCAATTCTGTCCTCTGTAGTTCCGAGCTCAACAGGAACAGATGGTTTACAACACAGACTAACTCTAAACCAAAAAATTCTAGATTTCAGTGCAAGGGCAAATCTTGGAATCAAGCAATACTTGCCCCATTACAACAACCAAGAAGAGTGGAAAGCTCACTTTGGTCCTCAGTGGGAACTTTTTGTACAGAGGAAATCTGCCTATGACCCTCTTGCAATCCTTGCTCCTGGCCAGAGAATTTTCCAAAAAGCGATACCCTTCTTATGACAATATTCTCTCATATAAACCACAAATTAATCAGAGAGAGCTTAAGTATATGGAGCCATTATGCCTAAAATTGTAAATTACTAGTAGTTAATCTCCATACATTATTGGGTGTCCACAACAATCGCAAGCAAAAAAGGGAAGTAGTAATCTATTCAACAATTTTGTTGATAACCTGAAAAGTTGAATTATGCAAACAGAGTATTGCATGTTATAAGGTCTTATAAAATTAGCATCAGAGTCGCTCTTATTCAGTAGAAAATACAGAGAGCTCCATGTTGTTTTCTTTTACTTTCATAGACTAAACAATATTGAGCTCTTTTAAAGATACAAGGAAATGCTATTCAAAACCTGAAATTCCTCAGTCCAAACCATATAATAACATGTAATAATGAAATCACCAATTCTCAAAAGAAGAAAATATCAAAATAAATAAATAAATATATATACATATATGTGATGATGGCAACGACTCAGTAAAAAACATACAAAGCTACTCTTTCCCTGATGTCTCCGTCCAGCCTAGACCAGGCCTGCGTATTTCTTCCTGTTGTTGCTCATAATCTTGGGCATCACGGATTGAAGCTTCAAAATCAGTTGAATCACTTGCAACAGGAAGAAAACTACTTATGTCATCTCTTGCCCCAAAACCCCCAGCGCGAATAACATCATCTGGTGTTATTGTGGCCTCCATGTTTACATCCCCAGAGGTCCCCACATCTCCCAGAAGTGCACCATGTGAAACAAACTCCCTGCTACTCTGATCAGGTATAAGTTTTTCATTGTTTATTTGAGATCCAGGAATGGATTTTGGAACACCTTCCAAATCGACCTTCGCATTATTAGATTCAGTTACTTCATTTCTTGTGGTTGTTCCATCTTTATCTGGGGCATCCAAAGCTCACAAACTCAGTTTGACATACAAATGCCAGCATATGCACATAATGTACATACAAATGCCAGCATATGCACATAATGTACTTATGTTTAAATAAGAAAAAAAAAAAAACGCTTATAAGAAAGATAACCAGTTATAATCAAACAAGTATAAGGATTTCTAACTTGGAATCATAACCTTCCGTTATCTATGGAAGTGAAACTAACATGACATACAAGTCCCTTGAAGTACTTAACCAAAGCCCCAAGTGAATAGTCTGCTAGATTTCACAGAAAAGACATTAAGGTTTCGGCACAAAACAGATGGAAAAATTAAATGCATGCATCATCTATGAGATTTGATATAATAAATACAGTTCAAGAAATTGTAAAGTGTACTATGTGTCTTAAGTTGCTTTGACATCGAACAATAAAATGGTCGAAAAGCATCAACAGTAAAACAACTTCAAAATGAGTGCTTATGGCACATCACCCTGAATCAAAGTGAAATTCCAAAGATTCAATGTCTTTTGCTAGTCTTCGAAATATGTTTTGTTCTTTTAAGACATAGACTACTAGTTTCTCAAAATCAACTGCTCCTGAACTCATTCCACAATTTCTATATACAAGCACAATCAATGTATCTTACAATAACAAAATGTAACCTCCTTAATTTCTCTGTTTTGCAACAAGTTCTAAGACTAGTTGTCATTATCTCTCCTAGTACTGTTATCCAAAATCTATATCACTAGCTGTTTATGCACAAATTTCTGTAGATTTATACTTAAATTTGAGATTCTTCTTTGTGCTTAAAATGATTGGGCTGAATAGCTTGTCTCCTACTTTCTGGAACTTTCTTTCCAAATGTGCTTACTTCTAAACAAAGCTTAAGCCCTGTTTTGTTTGGACAAAAGGTCGTTTTAAATAGAGATATATCTGGATGCCAAAAGATAATAACAGGGAACATTAAATGTATTATGGATATTAAACTAAGTTAGAGAGCTATCACAAAAATATGCATAAGCTTCAAGCCATAGAAAGGTATTTGTCCATCAACATAAGTGATATATCTCTTTTTGTCAACAGATTTAAGCAAAGCAAAATTAAATGTCCTAATTTTACCCTCAATGGCATATATTGTCTTTTTCACAACCTTAAGACAGCTTAATGTCACTCCTGTAGTGACAGTCAAGCAAATACGGTGGGGAATATGGAACCATATACCAAAAGTTTTTTTTTTCTATTAACTGCCTTTCAACCACAATCATTTAATTGAAAAACGAAAACGACATAGACAAAGATTTTGAAAGACCAAAGCACTATCCAATTCTCCAATCAAAATCCAAGCACAAGATCAAGGAGAAACATGCCACATGGAAGTATATATAGTGTATGAGAAGATTATCAATGCATACAAAAACAAGGCTAACATGTAGTAGCATTCCACTTTTTGCTTGGATAAGTACTCAGCTGTGTATCTCCATTTTCCATTTAGGCCAATCAATATAAGAAAATTTTATCAAGATCCTGTTCTCTTTATCTCTAATTCAAAAATCCTAGTCGTGTCACTCAGTAAAAGGATCTTAACCAATACAGGAATCTGTTAGGATCTTACATTGGAAAGGAAAGGGGTGGGCATGTGGGTTATAAAGGACTTGAACACCCTCCCTTGGCAAACCAGTTTTCCAAGTAGAGTTCTGCCCAAGCCCATGAAAGACCCATGACCCAGCCCAATTGTTGAGTTATTGGAGTGGGTTCCTATCAATTGGTATCAAAGCATGATCCTGCACCTACGTGACAAGGCTAACCTTGGGCCCGGACTGCTACCCCAAAAAAGGGCATGGAGGCCGGAGGGAAAAGGGATCCGCGTAGTCACCTAAGGGGTAAAGAGGCCGACGGGGGTAAGAAGGCCAACGTGGACGTCGGTTGCGAAAGCGTGGTGGAATGTTAGAATCCCACATTGAAAAGGAAAGGGGTGGGCATGTGGGTTATAAAGGGCTTGGACACCCTCCCTTAACAAGCCGGTTTTCCAAAGAGAGTTTTACCCAAGCCCATGAAAGACCCATGACCCAACTCAATTGTTGAGTTATTGGAATGGGTACCTATCAGAATCTCAGCTATATCTTGACATGCAGTCATCCTGCTCAACAATTTTCTCTCAACTAATCTAAATTGTAAATCAAAAGAAACTTATTTACTTAATAGAGATGTTTAAACTTCAAAAAGACAAAACAAAAATCATGTCATACATGATGTGAATAGCTTCAATAAGATTCTGTTTTCTTCCTCGGAAAGTTAAATAGATCAAGAAACTGATAGTAGACAAGACGTGAGGAGCTAGTACCATGCAAAACTTCAGCTGACTGATACTCCATAGGTGATCAAACTTGCAAGATTGAGTAACCACTCGGTGGTTCTTCTAAACAATCTCTCTTTTGTCAGGAATAAGATCCTCTGCAGATTTTCTGAACAAATCTAACAAGACAAAAATCAAAAGTTTTGTAAGATTCTATTGACATAGTAAGATACAGTATTTCACATGCATTTTGCAGATAGTAAGATACAGTATTTCACATGCATTTTGCAGATACACACTGAACAATATATGCAAACAGAATCCAAGGAACTAAAATTAGAAAATATAAAACATCTCATACAGAAATTACTAGTCTACAAACGTAAGACTTCATTTTAACATAAATGTCAGCATTTGGCGAATAATGCATATTGGAATCTGCTATGCCTCCTAATAACTTCTTAAGACTTCAAGTGCAGATATATTGATCCAAATTAACTCTGATCAAAACACACGTGCACTTTTCAGATATGATAAAAACACCCAGAATCTTAACTAATGGTCATTTTAACACAATTTTTTTGAGACTTTGGGTGAAGAAAAAATATAATAAAGCAGGACTCTGGCAGAAATGAGAAATCCTTGATCACTAAAACAGAAAGATAAAGAGAAAATTTAAAGATTCAAAAACAAAAGGCTATCAAGGAAAATTATCTCCCAACAATATTCTTCGGGACAAATGAAAAGTAACTTTAATCTTTACATCTTTTATGAGTCTTATCAATTCTTTTGTGCTGTTCTTATAAAATGGTGGTAAGAACTTTATTAATAAGCAGCAATTTGAATTCAATATTTTTATAAAATAATATGGAAATTAAAATTTCTTTTGACATTCTTTATTACACAAAATCATTTCATTCTCGAAAAGTTATACAGAGGTAACACATTTAGACAAACCAACCAATAATGTTTTTTAAGATTCACATCCATAGCCTTAAATATTGGGGGAAGGTGAAAATGCAAGAGAGAAGTTAAAGAATTTAGATTGATAAAGGAACTTTTAACCATAGAGCCAATAAATAACTTATCGGAACACATACTCCGGCATTTAGTGTCTAAGAGAGATTATATTACTTACACAAAACCACAACAGACCTATTCTATTGAGTCAGGTAGTGTAAAAGTACCAGTCAACTGAGCCCAAAAAAAAAAAAAAAAAGGAAACTACTATGGATTCATGAAGGCTTAATCAAGGAAATAACTTGGGGTCTTTTACTTCCATCTGAGCATATCATTACACCTTAAAGAAGTGACTTTCCAGAGGCCTGTTCCATATCATTCTGTCACTCATATACATGAGATGAGAAACATAGCAATATGAAGATCACCTGCTAACTAAATGGACAAATTAAACAAACAGAATAATAAGAGAAATATAAGGACAAGGGAGCATGTATTACATATAATGAACCATCACTCCAAATGAATCCAGACTATACTGAGGGACTAGCTTAACAGCTGGTACCATCAGAGTAATAACAAATAGCTGTCAAACCATATTTTTTTGCTGAGGCACCTATCTTTTTCTAGATCTTGTGGCTGGCCGACAACCACAACAAACTAACCAAGCATCCATTTGAAAAGCCGGTTACTAGCTTTATTTAAAATCAGGAGACAGAACCAAAGTCGACAAAGTAGAATCATATGTGCCCTCCTTACTTCACAGAGCCTAAAGTTAAATATTAAAATTAGAAAGAAACTGAAGTGATCTTGGCTAAACAAAGATGATGGTAGATGTTTTCAGGAGACTTAGCATAAGATACAGGTGGGCATAATGATGAACAATCTAACAAGACAAAATCCTATCAATATACAAACAGAGAGAGAATAAATGTAGAAAGCTCAATATTTATTGCACGGCAAAGAAAAACAAGGCATGTATGTCACAGGGATACATACAGGTGAGAAATATTAGGTCTTACTCATAGCTGTTCTAGTTGCTTATGATGTGTTATTTATCATTATGCAAAGCCAGAAACACATGTGAAATACATTCAGTTACTATAGTTAGAAAACAGTTTTTTAAAATGCAAGTATAATTTCTAGCCAGATAAATGCCCAAGAGGCATTTTCATCATGTCTGAAGAACAAATGATATATAAATAGGTCTCGTAAACAAGTTTTGATATGTTTAGCCATATAATCAACATTTTGCCTCAAAATTATGTTACTAAATATATTTGGATCCTGACAACACAAGATTCAATTTCTTATTCGCCTTGCAGGCAAATTTTAAGAACCGCTTTGCAAAATATTATCAAACAAGCCAAAAGTTTATGCTGTAAAAATGAAAGGTCAAAAATAATTTTAGATAGAAAGTGATGAGAAAAGTCTCTCCACAAATTAAGTGAAACATAGGCTTACAAAAATAACATAAATCAGAAATGTCAAGGTTATGAAAACTCTTTTACCTTAAATTTCTTATGTACATGTCACTGAAATCTTAAAGAAATTGTCTAGAATGTTTAAACCAGCAGTAGAGAGATAGACTCCAAGAATAGAACCAAAGTCCATTAAAAATCCAAACTTCACACCAGCTCTACTACTACTCAAACGAACTCTTTAATAGTTTTCATTTAGGAATTTTGTCACTTCCATTCATCAAAAGAAAAAGGAAAAAAACCCTTTAACATCAAAGTTGGAGAAACATAGAACAATCAAACACTTACAAAAGCTAAATTCAATCTCAAAAACTATGCCCTACATATTCTCTTACTAATGCTTCCATGTTTTCGATCTGTTTCCCCACAAATGCACATTTTTTTCTCTTCATCCTCTTATTGCCTCTTATTTCTCTGTTACTCACAGCTTTATTTCTATCGCATACAAGTAGAGCATTATTTTGTTTTAGTATAGAAGAAAAGAGGTTAATTGAGCAACATAAAGAGAGTCTCCAACAAATATGACACTACTTTAGGCCAATTATGCATTGAAAAAGCCTAGAATAACAAACATGTCATAAACAGGACTACTGAGTATAGATCTTTTACATCCCTAGATGTAATTATACGATTGCATCCTTGAACACCAAATCCCTTACAATAAGTGTACTGTCAGTTGCTTCAGTTGCACATCACTTGCATTAATTATAGGTGACTCACCTCCGCGTTTTACATTGGTATCATCCTCACTACTGTTCCCCCTTTATCCAATCCATCTTAACAACTACCAAATATCACCCCTCTCATTCAAGTCCTATAGACAAATGACCTTCCTCAAGTCGTATCGAAATCCAAATTGGCCATTGATTCCAGCACTACAACTAATGCCAGTGCTCAAACTAACACTTTCCAACCTTTCACAAACACAATTAACAGTAACCAACTAATCTAACATTTAGCGTAAAGTAAAAAATAGACTTCACTGATGAATATTCCTACAATTCCACAGCAAGTATCTATCACCAAACGTTTACAAACTCAATCTCCCCATTCATTCACATCCTAAATCCCTAATACAAATACAAAAAATGAAATTTCAAAGCCTTCTCCATCAAGATTTACAATTACAATTTCCAGAAATAATATATTCACAAGTGAAAAAAAAAATACTACTAAAACAATCACAGAAATACTGAGCAAGAACATATGTAACACAGTGCAAACACAGCAAGTCAATAACATAAACGGACCAAACGTGCGTTTCAGTTTGCTATGAATGAACCAAGTGACGCAGACAAACAGAGTAAATAAAACATGGAATTGAATTTTGCATTACTAAAACATCGGGAAAAGAAAACGAGACCACTCACTACGTAGAGTTTTCATCTGTTTTGAACAATGGGAACGAAAAAGTTTGGTTAACTTACCTGAGAAGAGCAGAGTGAAGAAGAAGGTGATATTTTTGTTGCCACCTTCAGCCTTTAGGCTTTAGTTTGAGTTGAATAGTTTTGTTTTTAATGAAATGCACGGAAGCCAACGTGTCCACCGCCTCCGCTAATTCCAGACACCTGTCCGACACGCGTTGATGTAAAGCTGTTGCCAAATCATTGGTACATACCAACGGCAGATTTCTTTTATTTATGTTAGGCATATACGTAATTAAAATTTATTTCATATTTTATTTTCATCACGTTTTCTGTTTAATTAAAATTTTATGTCTTAGATTTTATATTAGAATTATGAAAATATTTGTAATTTTTAAATTTATAATGAATATATTGAATGAGTGTTAAAAGGTTTTTTCTTTTATAATTTTTGTGTTGATGTTATTGGCCCATCATTATTTGAAAAAACCCCATTAATAGGAAATAATTATATATATATATATTTGGTCATTACTTTTTGTTTCACTAGTCCATCGAGGATTACTCCTCTTCCATGGCCTCCAACTCAGAAAACTGTTGTTTACACTAACCCCTGAATTAGCCACTTTAACTTTTTAAAGTTAATTTCTACTATTAAATGGAGTGTTAGGGAAAGGTAAAAGATTCATTTCACTATACATTTTCGCTAAAAGTTATATTTTTATTTCCTTTAACTTTCAATTTATATAAACAAAAAAAAACTTAAATTTTTTTAAATATTATGCATTAAAAAATCAAAATAATTAAATAATTAATAATTAATAGTGCAAAAAATCTCAAAACAGTAAAAAAAATAAACTATTTTAAAAACAACATATAAAAACATTTAAAAATTAAAAATCTGAAAAATTAAAAAATTGGACGGGCACATGGCCACGCCGGGTTGGCAAGCCACAAGCAAAGCCTTATTAGCCCGGCAACATTGACTAGGCTTAGACTCTGCACAAGCAAAGGCCAACTGGTGATCCGGCACCTCGTCAACGACTATCCTAGCCTAAGATGCCTAGCAACTCGCTAGCGAGTAGCCTGTCCATTAACTTCAAATTTATTTTTTGAATTTCTTTATTTTCTTGAAATTGATAGATATCAAGGTTTGAGGCTTTCAAATTAAAGGTTAAAGCTGACATTATTGTTGAATCATATAATACTATCATAAAGTTTGGATACAGTTAAATTATACTAGACCGTTTTAAAAATTAGAGTTTAATAAAACTAATAAAGAGTTATTGAAATCAAGATTTCGTATGCCTCTTAACATGACTAATATTGAAATGTTTTTTCATAATCTAAACAATGGTTTTACTACTATTTGAACTAATCCTATATGTAAAAATTTATAACATTTTCGTTTATGTTGTTCTAATGCTATTTTTGAGAACAATTGAATTTTTTGAACCTTTTCTTCATTAATCATTTTTGTATCTTCTGTTGTTTTAATTAAATAATCTAACATAAATGCAAAATTACCTACTTGATCTATTGTTTATTTTTTAACTGATGCTATATATGTTTCAGCTATGTAAATGTTGATATATTTTTGCCACATTAATTTCTTGAATGTTGATTGCTTTTGTTAATTCTTGATTATTATTGTGGTTTTCTATTTTATTATTAATTATAATACCACTACTGTTATTACTCATGTCCTCTCGTCTACTACTACTACTTCCTAATAATCTTAAAATACCAAACATTTCGAAAACACTTTTAACTTAAAAGATCTATTTTTACTTCTATGTCTCTACATGCATACATACATACATGTTTGATTAGGTGCCTAAAGTCAATCAACTATTGTAATATTGACTTTTTGTAAGAATTTTAATTTATCAATAAAAAGACATTTTTTTCTATATCATATAATTCATAATAGTATATCTTAATATATGTCCTTAGGATAATAAAACCGTGACGAGGGTATTAAGTGTTTCAAATATCGATAGTAAAAACCCAACGATCACATATAGCAGTCATTCTAGAAATGTACGTAGCCCTAGTATTATTCTGACTAAGAGCATAGATAATATGGTAAGGCTATCATAGTGTTGAACGACCCTACTAAAAGGCAGTGACTAATCTCGCTTGTCAAAGTTATTTAGTAACAACGTGGTGTAACACATGGGTGTTTGCTATAGGCAAGTTCACTAGACAGACCCACCAGAGGATTCCACATAGATGGTAACCCTAGTGTCTATAGAATAAATCATCTAACGGATGGTGGTGCATGTGATCCTTAGACTTGAGATCACTTAAGCGCCTTGTACATCAATTGGTGTAGTTTGACACTAGCACAATGTAGTTTTATATAGGACTCTCAAAATGGTAGTGGTTAGTTGCATCGAAAAGTGTATCCAGACTATGGTAGATTGAAAAAAGATTCATCACTCCAGGGTACGGGAGAAATAATCTCACTGTGCAATTCGGTGAATGACAATGATACTAAATCTATAGCCACAGTGGGATTGAGTTGTCGCTCAATCTAATTTATTACTCCCATCGTTGGTCCAGTAACCAAATACAAAGAGATCAAGGATATCTGAGGTTGACACTATTTTTGTACCCCAGCCTTGATGAGATAATGGATGATGAAGGGTTTTGATTGCATGGTAACCGTACCGTTGATAGGAAATTGTTTCGTTAAATCCGAATCTATCGAGTGGTCATGATGTCTTGCTAGAGGTCAATCTCAGTTCGTGTGTAGTGAGACAATTAATTGAGTGTTAATTGCGATACTACTCATTACCGATATGATAAACAGCCTACGAGTCACACACTTAGAAGACAAGTTAAGAATCAATATGTGAAAGAGGTATTTTCATCTTTTAAGACGAAATTATATTTTGGTAATCTCACAATGTAATTAAATTTGTTAAGGTTATTGCCTGTATTCAATTTTAATACTCAAATTAAAATTGGTGAGATTATATATATTTAAATATATGTGTACATATATTTAAATGAATTATTATTATTTAATATTAATATATTTTTGATGCATTAATATTTAGGGATTTTAATAATAATAATAATAATAATAATAATAATAATAATAATTAATAATTAAAGTACCAACATTGCTTGTTTGGCTGCAATGATGGATTAATATTGGAATCCATGACTATTCTTAAATGAAATAGAGTTTTAATTAGTTGCACTATATAAGTGCAACTTAAATTAAAACATAGAACAATAACAAACTTTTAGCAAAAACCCTACCCACCCTTCTCCCTTTCACGTGTTTATCAATTTTGGTGAACAAAATTATGTTTTCTTGATTTTTGAAGCCATTAAAGTTGTTCTAGCAAATTAACTTTTAGTTCTTCAGATTATCTTCGTGTGGATCAACGTTGCCCTGCTATTCTAATTTAAAATGTAATCTATGGATCTAATATGAAGTCTCATCATAATTTTGCATTGTGTGTAGTTTACACCACAAAACAATAGGGGTCTTGTAGTACAATGACCTTCATTAAAGAGAGATGTTGATATACTAGTCATATCTAGATCGATTAACTCTTAAAACCATTAGGCTTTCTACACAAGAGCCCAAGCTCTGATACCAATTGTAAAATCCTATATCTCAAATATTCCTAAAGGTGGGGTGAATAGGAATCTATAAAAAATAATTGTTGAATAAAAACTTTCTCCAACCCAAACAAGTTATGAACATAAAACACCAACAAAGATGGACAATAAATGAGAATGATGCTAAACAATAAGGATGAACAATGTTAAGTAATAAATGAGAAAAAGTCATAAATATAAGTAATGAATAAGTGCAAATGATAATGATGCTTCAAGTAAGTATGCACGGAATAATAAATAAGTTGAGAGAGAAGAAATGCTCAAAGATTTATAGTGGTTCGGAGCTTAATCCAAAAGCCTCATACATCCACTTCTTCAAGGCAACCTTCTCGAAGTTCCACTAGAATCGAATTGCGTCAGTTACACTAGTTTGACACTATTTCGCCCACAAGATGTTTGAATAAAAGCAATGTTTTAAAAACCGACCCGGGACAAAACCCGGCAAGATGGCCGGGTCCCGAGTCGACCGGTTGAACCAACTGGTTCAACCTGGTGACGTCATCATGCTGATGTCAGCAAAAACACTATTCACAGAATGATGATTTCCCAAGTTTTGCTCCAAATCATAAACTCCAAAATAAAAAATCTTTAGCAAAGCATCATCAAACATGATTACATCAATAATACAACATATTACAAATCAAAATAACAAAATGAATGAAGAAAAACCACATAATAGTTGTTTCAAGTTTTTAACTTTCAAGTCAACACTTCAACATTCTAACAAAAAATGATCTTCAATTCATCATTACATCTTCAATTAAAATTGACAATTCACACACTACCTGATAGATAATCGCCATCATTATTAATATCGGCGACATCATCTACAAAAAATTCTAGCAAAAAAGGAAAACCATAAGTTAAATCTTAAAATTTAAACTAATTGAATATAAACTAGCTGATACCAAATTGAAATTGCTTAAAAAATTGCAAATAACCTTCTGAAGCATCTGTTGAGTCATAATAAGAAGGGTGATCACCACCATCTATAGGAATAACTCCTTCTCCATATAATGATTGTTCCAATTCATCATAATTAAGCTCACCAACCTCCTCTTCCTTATCAACTATCCACCATTCAGTTTTATCAATACTCTCATAATCAATAGGATCATATGTAATTTTCTTATAACAACTCCTGAAATAGCATAATTAAATATTCAAATCATGACCAATAAAGACATCAATAAAAATAACAAAATGAAGAAGGCTTTATACCTATTTTGCAAACGCAAGTTATAATGAGTGAAAACCAAATCATTCAACTGTGGATGTTCCAATCTGTTCCTCTTTTTAGTATGTATGCGTTCAAAAAAGCTCCAATTCCGCTCACATCCGGAAGAGGCCGAAGTTTGATTTAGAATTTTGATTGCAAACTTTTGCAAATTTGGAGCACTAGACCGAAATGTCCTCCACCATTCATCTAATTGAGAATAAAAGTATAAATTACATAAGAAATAAACACAATTTCATAACTTAAAAATTAGATTTAAAAAGTTAATAAATATTATATACCCGGCCGTGTAGTTTTGCAAGTTTGAAGAGCAAGCTCACGAGAAAAACTTTCTAGACAGTCTCAATATAATCTACTCTCCTCCAGTAATGTTGTCTTGCTCATTTTGCATGCATTTGCTTTATTGTCAATTGTGTCAAGAAAACCATACATGACCTCAGGTTTTTTGGAAAAAATATCTTCATCATATTTAAAAGCAGGATTCAAATAATATGCTATTGCATGAATATCACGGCGCAACATCATATCCCAACGTATCTTAATAATTGTTGTATAAGGCTTGTACAAATTTTTCTTGTTCTTAAATAGCTTCTTGATCCTCATCCTCGTTCTATACATGCCATCATACACATATCCTATTGAAGGTTTCTCATCTGAGTCTATAATCCGGAGCATACGCATTAATGGACTCACAACTTTGGAAATTATACCAATGTCATCCCATAACCGATTATCTAGAACTATGGAAATAAAGACTTTGCCTTTATTAGTTTTTGCATATCGAGACTCCACAAAAGTTCTATATGTCACTGTAGATTGCAAGTCATGTTTGTACTGATGTAGGCTGCTCAATGCAATGAAAGTTGTGGCAAAACAGGTTGCACTTGGGCATATAATTTCTGTCCAACCCTATTCAAGTGATAGACAATAGATGTTAGTACTTAGTAAATTATTAAAAAGTGTACATATATAATATGTCTTGACAATGTAAATTATAAACATATGAAGTAAAGGTATATAACTTGTTTTTTCCTCAACAAAGCTAGTACAAAGGAATGATTATATGCAAACTTTGTAACCTCAGATGCACATGTCGAAAGGTTGACTATATGACTCATCTCAGCTATGTCTTTCAACATCAAATTAATGCAATGTGCTGCACAAGGAGACCAAGTAATACTGCTATATTTTTAGACAACATTCTTCCAGCAGCTTTATAATTTGCTCCATTGTCAGTGACAAAATGGACAATATTGTTTGGTCTAACCCATAAAGCTATTTCCTCAAACAAGCTAAACAATGTTGCAGCATCCTTTACAACATCTGAAGCATCCACTGATTTCACAAAACACACTCCTTTAGGACAGTACACTAGAAAATTAATCAGCGACCTATGTGAATTATCTGTCCAACCATCAGCCATTAAAGTACATCCAACATCCTCCTAGGTTTTCTTGTAACCATCAACAAGTAATTGCACTTATTTCCTAGCATCTCTCAATAAATTTACATGTAAATTATGATAAGTTGGGATTTTATACCCAAGACCAATTGCAACTATAGCATCCGCCATAGGTTGAAAATAAATTGAATTAATAACCTCAAATTGTTATACACTAGCTCCATAAAGATTGACATTCTTACGAAGTTCAACTTTTTGTTTATTCTTGGCCCTAATTTCATTTAGTGCTTCTTCAATCTTGAATTTAACATCGAAAGGAATTTAACATCGAAACGAACTTTATGGCACTTTACAACTTCTCCCTTTACACCCGCTAGATGCAATTTCACTCGATAAATTACTGCACCTCTAAATATCTTGCCACAGTAAAGACATGTTAATATCTTCTTCCCATTTTCATCCACACCCTCATTAACATGTCCCCATGCTATATCATTTCTTCCTCGAAAAGTTTGTGAAACATTCACGGAAGCAGATTGTTGACAAGACCTAGATGATGACATATTCTTTGTCTTTAATCTTGATCTCTACCCTGGCAACACAAATAACAAATAAATTAGTAATAAACTAATAATTAATAATTAACCCTTATTACTACATAATCATTAAAGCATCTAAATGTTACAATATCATTAAAGCAGCTAAATAAATAGCGAATTTCATTTGTTTACTCTTTCTAATCAGAATTACATGTATCCAAAAAGACAGTGTATTAGAAAACTTTACACCACTTGTCCACAATTTTTTACAGAATTACATGTATTCAAACAAATAGTTCCATAATGAACTCCTAAATCTCTAAAAAAAGTGGAAGGGACAACACATGCATGGGTAGCATACCTGGAATCCAAAACCACATTTTTGGCACAAATAAATTAAATCAAAAAAAGGCAAACACCTCATAATATACACATGTACATATAAAATTATGAAATTAACTAGACAAAGGTTTAAAAGAGAGTTACACAGCTAAAACTTCCTACCTCAGGATATGAATATACAAATTCCACCAAACTTGTATTAGAGCCAGATACATTAAAATGACGAACTCATCAAGAGACTACAAATAGTAAATTGCTAAATCTGAAAATGAAACTGGATACTCTAAATAGACAATAATATCAAGAGAATAAATATTTAAGAGGCTCCATGAAGAAACAAGAAAAGCCATAAAACATTGCAAAACTGTTGATGGCACGCTTCCTATTATCTCTTATAATACTCAATTTCCAAGAATTTAACTATACTTTTACTTTCAATTAATTAATTAATTAATATACTATCTCTTATTGAAACAAAGTGATAGCTTTCAACACAACACCACCACTTCTGTCTACCCAAAAGTACCAATAATTCATAACTGGTTCACCAATCAAGTTAAATCCTATAGGTTTGAATGAATTCAATAACTTTTACAAAACAAAAATTAAATAAATAAATAATGGATACAAAACTTTTACTACAATTAGGATCAGAAAGGCATGATCATTTTCATTAGTTCTCCCTTCAAACTATAAAGCATGTTCACTAGGCTTCAATTTACCTGAGAGCAGCATGCTTACCGGTGGAAGCCTGCTACATTGCAAATTAAGACATCTCATGCACAAGACCTGAAACAAAGACATATGCCTACACCGTGACAGTTACCTGGTGCTGGTGAAGATGAGCTATCGTTCGTTGACCGTCAGGGAGGTGGAGCTCGGCTGTGAACAGGGCAACTATGAAGAGCTGAGTCTTGAGATTTAAGCAATGTGAAGAAGAGTGTGTGCAGCTCCGAGATCAAGATCGACTATGCACTGTGCAGCTCTGAGAAGAATGACAACGATGGATGTACAGCGTAGATCGACAGTGATGAAGAGTGTGTGAGGCCAGAGAAGATCGCGAAATGGGAGGAGATTCGTTATATTCCAGCTGACGACGAAGTAAGCTGTTGACAGTGAAGGCTGCAGCGACGAGATTCGACAGTGAAGGGAAGACTCCGACGGTAATTTTCAGAGTTCAGTGTTCAGCTTCAGACTTTCAAAGCAAAGGGTGGAAATGCCGTGAAAATTGGGGGGGGGGGGGAATGAGGGAAATGTTGATATTTGGGGTTTACTGTTCATTAATATATATTATATAATTAAAAATTTAATTATTTTATATTTTATAAATGGTGACCCTGTTTTTTAAAATTGACGGTTGGACCGACAGGTGCTACAATGCACCAGTCCAACCGCGGGCATTAACGGACAGAGTAAAAATGCCGGTTTTGAGACTCACCCGACCCGGCTCGGCTCACCAGCTGAGTCCTGATTGAATCGGTTCAACCGGCTGGGCTGGGCCGGGTTTTAAAACATTGAATAAAAGTATGTAAAAGATTGCCTCTTAAACTAGGCTTGAAGATACAATAAGAACAGTGCTCTCAAATGATTTCAAATGAGTATAAGAGAGTGATGATTTGATTTGGATTTTTAGCTCAAGGGGTTATCTGAGAATGTTTTTTATATGACTTTTGTATCTTTGGTATTCTCTCTATCTTTCTTAGCAATAAAACGCCCTATTTAGTACTCATCTCTTCTCTTTGAAGCAAAGAGTCATTGTTGTAGTTAATGCTGAAAAGCCTACAGACATAGAGGAACGAGCGTTCCATCATCGCGAACGATCGTTCTGAACATCAACGGTCATTTCGTACAGCTTTAGGGTTTCTGGTATATGGTCATTTTATCATCGCAAACAATTGTACCATCATCAAGAAAGGTCATCCCACCACGGGGAACGGTTGGTCCATTGGCTCCTTACAAATCCATAAGAATTTTGGAAGCATGCATGTCTTCCAGGAACAATGACGTTCTGCCAAAAACAATCTTTGAGTGTGAACGGTCATTCCATCATGAGGAACGGTCGTTCCACTTTAGATACATGAACTTCAACTTGATCTTTAAGGCTTGTCTTCCAAGATTTGTCGAATGAGTGAAATATTTGAATTCTGAATACTTTGACTTTTGACTTAGATGGAACAGGCATGTTGCTTGGTCGTGCTATTGTGAGCGACTTGACTCCATTTTGGGCAAAAGCATGCATGATCATATGGAATGATGTTGTGATGAGAGGAACATGCATTTGGGCAACTTTGTGAAACAAGGGACGATCATTCCTTTGTTTTGCATAGTCGTACCAACTAGGAAAAGTGCATTTTGTTTTTGGTTAGACTTCTTGTCATACCTTAGCATATTTGTTAGAGAACCAATCAACTCTTTGGTTAGTTTTGACACATCAAAACACATGGGGGCTCAATATCATTTAATTTATTGCACATTGAATGCTTGTATTTATTGCAACTTATTGTTTTAAGCATTATGGTGGTTTGAAGTTTTAAATTCCATGTTAATTTTAGTTAACTCTTATTTACCCCCCTTTTAGGAGTAATTGCCATATAAGGTTTTATATAAATTATCACTCAATTATTTTTGTTATTAATTAGTCATTTACCCATTTACTATACAAGTGTTAAAATTAACCATAAAAAGTGCTAGTGGTTGTTAGATAACAAAGTGTTGAGAGCTATTTTGGATACCATAGGGAGTTCATTTATTTATGGAGGACCTTAGGGGGGTTAGAGCATCTCCAAATGACTTTCTATATAATAAAAAAACTCTTTATTATAAAGAGTTTATTCATAAAAATAAGAGTCCAACAAACTCTTTATCATTTTAATATAAATTAAAGAGTGACTTTGACTCTCCACATCTAGAAAGTCAAATTTCACTCTCTATCATAGTTTTAATTAATAAACTATAAATTTCCATGTATTTTATTTATTAATTCTCTCTCCCATTAAGTATTTTTCTTGAAAATAAAAAACATCTTCATTAAATTTAAAGAATCCATCGGATTTGAATAAAAATTTTATTTTTTATATTAGAAATTAATAAAGATACTCTTTATTTATATGAAAAATACTCTTTAAAATAAAAACACCACTACAAATGCTCTTAGGGTAATATTCTCTATATTGATATATTTTAATGACCATATTTGGCAATGGGTCGTATTGGAGCGGTTTCACGTTGTACCACATCCATGTAGTGTTAGATTCAAAACTGAACCCAATCCAATAGTTTTAAAGTTTAAACCGAACCTAACCCAATAGTTGATTGGGATAAAGTATGAAAACCACAACAGAAATTGTATTTTAATGTGTTACCCAAACTCCACCTGTTAAAACCTTGCCCCATCTTTTTCTTTTTCTTGTTAAACAATAAAAAATAATATGATTGGACTCTTATAAATAATTTTGTATTGTAATTATAAACTAGATAAGTAAAGATATAAAATGTCCAAATGCATAAATGTTCAAATAATCTTATAGCATCAAAATATATTAAATTATTTTGAAAACCAATAGTTATGCAATTAAAAATTCAAATACAGAAAATACATTCCCAATTAAGCAAATAATAGTAGGCATGACAATATTCCTCAGGATTTCGGGGACCCGTCCCGCCCTGCTCCATATGGGGCGGGGAAGGCCCGGTTTTTTTAGGGATAGGGGCGGGGTGGGGGGCGTTTTAATCCCGTCCTCGGGGATAGAGCGGGGGTGGGTGATGCCTTTCTCTCGCCCCGCCCCGCCCCGCCCCGTATGTAATATATAAAATTAAAATATATATATATATATATACTTTTCAGTAATACTCCTATATTTTACCTAATTACATAATTATCCTATCTATATAAACCCATATTTTCTCAATTTTCCTCATCCTAAACAATTGAACAAGAACAAAACCCTGACCCATATTTATGTATAATTAATTATGTTTAAACGATTAATTTAAGTGTTTGTCATGTGGACGAGAATTAACTATTGTGTTTGGCAATACTCAAATTAATTTATGTTTATATAAAATTAACCGGATGGGGACGGGCCTCCAACATTCCCCTTTGACGCAGGAAAGTGGAATTCTTGTCATCCCTGTAAAGGGAGGGGGGGGGGGGGGGGGTGGTGGGGGGGGGTTGGGGGGGGGGGGGGGGGGGGGGGGGGGGGGGGTGTGTTCGGTAATTTTGAGGGCAAGATGGGTAAGGTGAATGAGACCCCCACCCTACCCCATTGCCATGCCTAAATATAGTACGAAGGACTCATTTTCCTTATCTTAAAAAAGAAAAAAAGTAATAATGTTAGGATTTGAGAGGATAAGTTTTATTTACTTTACTTTCCGTATCGAATAAAAATAGAAATAGGAAGAATATCCACCATGTTTATTATTATTTTGAATAGTTTATTACTAAAATTAACACACACACACACACACACACACACACACAACACACACCACATATATATATATATATATATATATATATATATAAAGAGTCAAATGAGTTAAACGATCCCTATAACTTTACTTGGTCTAGTTTGGGTTGTTAATCTCATACAATAATTTGATGATTAGGTTGTTTGTTTGTTTTAATTATAACGATGGATCTTTAACCACCATGTGTAAAAAATAATTTTAATTTTATCTGGAAAAACTTGTAATGGTGTTGATAAATTTAACATCACCATTAGATATGAAATGAAACAATTATTGGGTAAATGAAACATCGACCTGTCTATTTCATTTTAAATGATTTTTTTTTTTTTTTTGAAATATCTCTTAAGACATGTATATTACTCTTTTAATTTTGTTAAGGTAAGGAGATTCTTTTTTAAATTATTCCATTTTGAATGCTCTTTGTGAGTAACGTATAATATACATTAACCAATAATGGTTAGTCGAGTGGTAAAGGCTTGAGACTAAGGGATTTGTTTTTCCTGTGGTCTTAATTTATCACAAGAATGACTATTAATATTGTTAGCCACGGATTGTAGGACTTATCTTATTCAGGGTTAGGGACTGTCGAGATGCACGTAAACTGGTCCGAACCCTCTAGTAACAAAAAATCTATAGATTATATATATATATAATATATATATTAGTTATATGATTGATAGAATTAAGATTAAGGAATTAAAGGTCACCAACAATACCAAAAGCAAGTTGGTATCAACCGAAATAAATTAGTGTGAAATTTTCACACTAATTGGGAAACAAGAAGTTAGTTCGCGTGTAATGAATCTAGTTAATGCGAAATTTTTGTAGTTCGTCTAAAATTTTCGCATTAACAGAAAACTAAAAGTTAGTTAGTGTGAAATTTTGGCACTGATTGAAAAAAGTTCGCAATGATTGGAAAGTTTCACATTAATTGACTTTTCTCTTCGTTTTCCCACTTCAGTTTATCACATGCACTTCGTTTGTACAATTTTCACAACATCAAAACTAATACATGATAAATTAACATCAAATGAACATTATACGTACATAAAATTTAAAGTAATATTACATATATAACATTTTCATATAATATGATGTGGTAAAAGATTATTGAATAAAAGTATTTTTTTTAATTTAAAATCAGTCAATCACCTTTTATCATATTATGTTGTATGAAAATATTGTATGTGTAGTATTATATTAAAATTTAACAAAACGTTAAAATGTAGCCTCACATCTACTCAAAAATCATCCCAACTAAACCAAAAACTTTCCACAAAACATAAAATTGACGATCTTACTAGAATATAGTGTTTACATGTTTCAAATGGGAGATGTTTAACTAATTTTGAATGATTTTATGGATTGAAATGTAGAGAAATTTGTATGAAAATGTGTTAAATAGTTTAAGTAGTGAAAGGTTGGGGGTAAAGGGATTTTGGCCATTATGTGGATGGTTTTAACCATGGTTTTACAACCCGACCCAACTCGGTTAAATCGGGAACCAGTGATTGAGCCGAGTCGGTTTGGCTAAAAAATCAGGAATATTAAATAACCCAGTTTGAACTGCGGTTGGATCAGATTTTTTGTTACGAACTATCGGTCCAATTGATTTTACCTAACGGTTGAACCATATTCTTATTATTTTATTATTTTTTATATGTTATGCTGATGTCAGAATGACATTATCACGCTAATATCAGTGTGATGATATCATGATTCGACTCGATAGTTAAACTAGTTTGATCGGCCAACCCGATGACTCAGTGACCTGATCGGGTCACTTCCGGATCGGGTTTTAAAACCTTGGTTTGAACTCAACTATAGGCTTTGGAAAATTGTTTATTTTTATATGTTATATCAAAAATCCTAACGGCCAAAAGCGAGGATCGGTAAGTGCACGTGGGCTTAGCACAGTGGAATTTAAACTGCAAGGGTTTTAACTTTGAAGGAAGCCGCTCAGTCTCAGATATTAATTAAATAATAAATTTAAATTCTGAAAATCGCAGCTCCTGATACTCACTCTACAATCGACACTGCATTTTCTTCCTTTTACTTCCAACCAATTCCAAAAACTTCTACAAACCACAATTTAATACTTATAAATTAATTTAAACAAAAAAAAAAAAAAAAAAAAAACTGAAGGAAAACCCATAAACCCTAATCCCCATACATCGCAATCTCGCCCGTATGTCGCCGGCTGCGGCAACAGTGGAATTCCATTCTCCCTTTACCATCAAACCCTCTTCCTTTGTCCAAAACCCTAATAGTAACCCTAACTTTGATCCATGTTCTTCTTGGGGCGATCATTTGCAGAATCTACCTAACGCCACTAACTCTAGTTCGTCTTCTTCAACAGCTTTCGGTTTTGGTGTTGGCGTCGGTGTCGGTTGTGGAACCAGGTCGCGGACCGGGTCGGTTCGGAACAAGCCAAGGCTGCTGAAGGTGAGGAAGCAGGTGGGGAGGTCTAGGAATGAAGCGAGCGAAACGGCGTCGGATTTTAATCCGTTTCGATCAAAGGTTGAAGATTCGGGTTCAATAAACGGTAATAGTTATAATTCATCGTTTTCTAGTAATGGGGTTTTAGAGAATACTAATAGTGTATCAAATAAGTTTTCTTTTGATAATGATAATGTGGGGTTTGTATTTGGTGCTAAAAAGAGTGATGTGGGAAAGGTCTCTGAAAGTGAGCTCGAGAAGCTTGATAAAATGGGCCTTGTGTTTGATGATGATGGGTGTGATTTCTGTCTGAATTTGAAGTCGGAGAAAGGAGAGTCAAGCGAGAGTGCAAAAAATAAAAATCCTGATTCAGAGAATGTGGATTTTGTGTTTGGTGTTAATGGTAGTGGTATGGGATCAAGTTCAAATTCAGAAAAGAGGGAATGTTGTAGGAATATGGGTGATTCTTGTCTCGGGTTTGTGTTTGGTTCTAGTTGGCATAATTCTATGTCGAATGTGAACTCAGAAGAGAGTGAGTGTTGTGAAAATAATGGTACACCAGTTTCTGATGATCAGGGCAAGATGAAAGTACAAAGTGAAATAGAGTCGGAGAAAGTGGAAACTAATGAGGTTAGATTTAAATGTAACGAAAGTTTTAGTTGCAGGGAGGATAATGGTAAGGGTGCTTTTGTATTTGGTGCTGACAATAAGAAAAGCTTTGGTAATGACAACAGTATTGAATGGACTGTAAATGATAATGTGGATTTTAATCTCTGTTATGAGAGTAAGTTTGTATCAGAAAGTAGTAGTAGTATTAACAATATGGTTGGTGCTTCAAGCACAAACCCAGTATTTAAACTGCCTGATGAGATGAAGAAACTGAACATCAATGAATGTGAAAATGATGATGGTGCTGACAGGAAATATGATTCGAATAAGAATTCATGCGCTCATGGTGATAGTAAATTTGTGTTTACTAGTGGTGTAAAGCCTTCTAGTTCTTTTAGTGTTGATTCAAATCCTACTCAGGAGCAGATATCAGGTATTGGTGCTGCTGTTGGGACAAAGGTGGAAGATAAATGTGGGACTGTTGACAGTAATCATACTGTATTTGGTAATAGCTGTAATATAAAGAGTGCTCCATCAGCATATGATTTTGTACGTGAGACAGCTTCATCAGCAAACAACTATGTTCCTGGGGCTACTTCTTTAGATGGAGTTCAGAAGAAGGGCGAGAACAGTTCACAAGGATTAGGGATTTCCTTTGCTGAGTTCATAACACCCAACGGGGATTGTTTCAAAGCAAATCTATGTCCTGAACTAAGTGGAAAACTGGAATTCAGTGCAAAGAGTAAATCAGGTAAAGACAAAAGATCAAAGAAAACTAGGGGAAAATTGAAGCAACCTTCTTTCCTTAAGAAAGGGCTGAAACAAGTCCACGTGCAAAAGGAAGGCAACTTACAAGAAAACCCAACCTCCCCTGAATGTTACTCACCTATGGATTTTTCCCCCTATGTGGAAGCAACAGTGAGTGATATGCCTTTAAGGGAAACACTGGTGAGATCAAATGAGTCCTTTCATACAGACAATAGTTGTGCAACCTCCACCTCTCACCACTGTGTTACTACTGATTTTAAAGATGGAAACCTTGCTTCTGCAGAAAGATTTGATATTAATATAGGTGATCAGAATTGTAGACAGCCAAATAAAGAGAGTTATGGACATCATCCTGAAAGTTCTCATGATGGTGATTGTTCTCTGAAAGGGTTTGATTTTGGATCTGAAACTGCTTACTCTAGTTTCAATCAGGAGCAGGTATACTGTAGCAGTGGTTCCACTGGCCCTTCAGTGGCACATGCAGATGGCTTGAACACCAATATTCCTGAAAATGTACTGTATTGTTTTGCATCAGGTGTAGAAGAGCAGAAATATTTTACCTTTTCTGCTTCATCCACTGCAGAAGGTGGTTTAACTTCTAGAAGACTTCTGCTTCGGAAGAAAACTAAGAAGAGAGTTGTTAATGGGTCATTTATCATCTCTCCAAGTTCTAATGTCAAGGTCAGCTCTGTCCATGGTCAAGAAGAAGATAGATATACGTCTAAAGGTGAAGTGGGGACTATATCTGAACTTGCTGAACAGGTCAGGCAGGGTTTTGTCTCCTCCAGGGCATCATTTCAGGAAGCCTGCGAGGTGTGGCGACAGAGGTATCAGAATAAATGAGTAGTTTTTAGTTAATTTTAAAATGCGTCTCTTGGTTTACCATTTATGGTGATTCGATTTTGTTAACTATCGGTTGCTTTTCTATTGATGGCAATGTGCATTTTTTAATTATAATGTTGCTTTCAATAATATTGATTACTATTTCATGTTTTCAATTTTCTATACGTATCAGGGGTAATCAAGCTTATAAAAATGGTAATCTGTCTAAAGCTGAGGAATTTTACACACAGGGCATTAATTCTGCCCCTCCAGATGAGACTGCAGGATGCTGCATCAAGCCTCTTGTGCTTTGCTACAGCAATCGTGCAGCAACAAAGATCTCTCTTGGAAGGATGAGGGAAGCTATAGAGGACTGTTTGATAGCTGCCAATATAGATCCGAACTTTCTCAAAGTTTACAAGAGAGCTGCAAAGTAAGGCTTTCGTTTGCCCTCTTTATTTTATTTTATTTTTTATTTTGATAGGAAGCACTGGTATAAGGTGGACCAAGTGTCCACTGTACGAGATTTATAGCTTTACAAAAAACTGAAAAATCTTGTGTATATGAAAAACAAAAAGAGAGAAACTGCAGTATCCCAAAAACCACAAAAACAAAACACATCAACTCAAAACCCCTATCCAGTTATGAAAAATGAAGAAAAAAGAGGTATCTCGGAAATCTCTTGTAATAGACACCCAAAGAGCAGTTAAAAATCTGATTTTCTCCCATGAAACATTAGCCTCTTCTCCTTTACTCCCTTCAAAGATTCGGCTATTCCTTTCACTCTAAATCACCCTCAAAAGAGCAAGAACTGTGTATTTCCACAAAGTCTTTGCCTTCTTTACTTTACCGTAAGTTGCAACATTCTCCATAAGTAAAGAAGAGCAATCTTATGGAGTTGCATTTGTCCTTTTTATGTTAGATTGCATATAATGGAACTCTTGTAAGATTTGTCATTAATTTTGTTCATTCCAAAACAAATTTGTGTGAACAAACACTTGCACATATTTAAGTAGTTTTTATCATGCTTAATTCTGCAGTGCAGGTAATACAAAATTCTTCTTCTTCTTCTTCTTCTTTTTTTTAATCATTATATAAATAATCTTTTGCATGCCAATGTTGTGTGCTACTAAATTTTTCTTGCAATTCTATGGCATTATTGCTATTCTAAATTTGGATGTTTTTCTTTTTTCCAGTTGCCATCTTGTGCTGGGGGAAGTTGAAAATGCACTGCATTATTACAACAAACTCCTGGAATCAGGACCTGACGTGTGTTTGGATCGTAGAATTATTATTGAAGCTGCTGAAGGCCTACAAAAAGCTCAGGTAAGCGTCTGTTTATTGGCTTTTGAGAATAAGGTCTTCTCAAGGAATTTATATAAATTGTACTACTAAGCTCATGTGATCATTTATTTCTATGTTCTTAATCTGAATGAATTTTGCAGCATAATGGTTTATGATTGGTGAATGCTTGTGTGCTAAACAAGATTTATGGAATTCGTTATGTTTTTAGATTTCAAATTCACATATGCAAACCTTTTTTTTTTTTCCAAGGATTTATGTTTTTATGTACACAATTGTGAGTCTGCAACGATGTATTTAATATATAACTTGATGTGCTATCATGTTTGCTCGAATACTATCTGTGTTGTTTTTCGCGAGCTGAAGTTGTTATTACTAAGGTGTCCTTTCTGTGAATGGAATTATCATGTGCTGTTATGTTCCTACATTTGTTGCCTCTCTTTCCTCGTTGGTCTTTAGAATGATATTTTTATGTGTTGGTGACTAATTGTGCGGTTCACCTTTCAGAAAGTGGCTGAGTGTACAAACCGTTCTGCTAAATTTTTGGAGCAGAAAACTTTAGAAGCAGCATCTGATGCTTTAGAAATAATTTTGGAGGCCTTGTCCATTAGTTCATGCTCAGAAAAGTTGCTTGAAATGAAAGCAGAGTCTCTATACTTGGTTTGTTCCCCATCAACATATAACTCCGCTAATTTGGACATTAAATTTATCGTCTGTTGGATGACTATGTACTTCTTTTCTTGTGAGGTGTTTGATTGATATACCTTAAGTTTTGATCTTAGCATGGTAGATAACATTGTTGGATATTTCAGTTGCGGAAATATCAAGAGGCAATTCAACTGTGTGAGCAGACTCTTGATGTAGCTGAGAAGAATTTTGCTTCAGTGGGAACTGATAATGATTCAGTAAATGTGAATGCTTCTGGAAGCATTAGATACTCAGTTGCTAGGCTGTGGAGGTGGCGCTTGATATCTAAGTCCTACTTCTGCTTGGGCAAGCTTGAGGCAGCACTTGATTTACTTCAGAAGCTGGAGCAAGTTGGATCTCTCAAGGACAAGTAATCAATAATTTTCTTTATGCATAAGTAATTATTACGTTTCTATGCCTTAATTTGGACATGTCTTGCTTTAGAGGGCTTTGAGGTTCCTGATCCTAGTTTCAATTGTGTAGGCATGGAAGTCAGATGTTGGAATCATCAATTTCATTAGCTGCAACCGTTCGTGAACTTTTACGCTGTAAGGTACAACATTCATTCCTCTGTTATACTTTTACCTGGATTTTGGAATAATAGTCGCCAAAGTACCTTGGCAATCCTTTAACATGGAGCTATTAGTTAATGCATAGCACATCTATTTTTTTTTTTTTAATTTTTGATTTTTAATTTAATTGAACTATTGTACCTGATTTTATGAGTATTATTGTTTTGAACTCGATGAAGAATTTAAGCCATCCTTTTCAATGGAAGACCATGAGTTTAAAACTTGGAGTGTTTGTGTCTCAGAAGCTACACTTTCAGAAACATATTGTGCTTTGTTATTTATGATATTCAATCCTTTTTAAGGCAAAGGTTTTTAGCTAGATTGAATTACACTTTCAGAAACATATTGTGCTTTGTTATTTATGATATTCAATCCTTTTTAAGGCAAAGGTTTTTAGCTAGATTGAATCCAGAATGCCTTAAGATGTGATTGTCAACTTTCTATTTTGCTCAGACTTACTTTTATGTTTCTTGTTTTGAATTGTTTGATTGGTTTTACTGTCTCATTTTTATCATTAATTTCTTAGGGGATTTGCAGGACAAGGTTATCAATCTAGTCGGTTTTAAGAAGTGTTGTTGATGCTTAATCATTACAAATAAAAACTTCAAAATTTTTTTTTAAAGAAGTGTTAGCTTTATTTCTGGTATCCTTGGCTGCCTGTAGTTATGTAGCCTAATCTTTTTCCCCTGTTTTTCGCTTTTACACATCTGATATTATAGGTTTGTGGCCCCCATTGTTTTTGGTGGTATATTGATTAAATGTATTACAATTTAGAAAACGAAGTCACTGTTTACTTAGTTGATGCCATTATGGGTAGGCTTCTGGAAATATTTACTGGAAAGTCATTTGTCTTTGGACAAACTAGTGGTGTAGGGCCTGAAAGAATTTAAAGATATAGCTGTGGATACTCTGGACAGCAACAATAAAACCAGGTTCTAATACTGGAAATTCAGGTTGGTGGTAAAAGGTTGGCGAGCATAGGGGCAATTTGGGCTGTAACAATGCGTTTAGATAAGGATTTAAGGTTGCAAATTCGGCAAAAGAGGATAATATAATATCTGATGGATATTTCATTGGCATCATACAAGGATTTGGATGTTTCTTTTTTTTTTTTCCTGATAAAAATAGAAGGCATGGGATCTGTAAATCAAAAAAATTTTGTTTCCTTTTTTAACATCTTCCATATCTTAAATCAGAAACCTTACATAGAATTACATGAGGATCTAGTGTTTTTTTAATGCTGTATTTGGTTTTTGATCTCTTATCATTTTTTTTTCTTTTATAACTTTTTCAGATATGGGTGTTTTGGGTTAATGATCTGTTTAAAATTTGTTTATCTTATTAATCCATTTTGTTATTCTTGCAAATTTCAGAATGCTGGTAATGAAGCTGTTCGATCAGGAAGGTATGCTGAAGCAGTGGAGCATTATACTACTGCTTTATCCAGCAATATTGAATCTCGTCCTTTTGCTGCTATCTGTTTTTGTAACCGTGCTGCAGCACTCCAAGCTTTGGGCCAGATAGCTGATGCCATTGCAGATTGCAGTCTGGCCATGGCCCTTGATGGAAATTATACAAAGGTTTGCTTTGAAAGTTGATCTTTTGTTCTAAAAGTGTATATACAAGGGAGACTTGTGAAGGATAGTGGAGAAAAAGAAATTGCAAAAATTATAGAAGAAAGGGAAGGAAATAGAGACAGGCATTGAGGAGTAAAACAGTTGTTTTTTTTATCAATGATTCGTTCGTCGAGTCTGAAAACAACAATTACCTAGGCCTACCATTTATAGCGGTCAAGACATAACTTGGAATAGGAAAACAATTAACTAGAAGTGAAATCGATACCAAATAGGAAAGTAAAGTAACCTTGATATGCAGGTCTACTCTTACAACATCGAGACAAGAAAATAAAAATTAATTTGAGAAAATCGGAAAATAACCTTAAATCCCTAAAATCTCTTTTCTACGTGAACTTTTCATATGGTCTTTCCTTTTCTTTTTTCTTCTTTTATTTTTTAGATGAATCGGTAGATCTTACTGAGTGTACCTTCCTTTAGAGTAATACATGTGTCCTGCTGGTATAAGAAATTATTTGAAGAATTTTTTTTAGCTTAGTCATGGATGCGGTGAGTGATTACTTATCTCAAATTTGGGAATTATCTGGATATAAGTTTGGCCTGTTGTCTGACCTGTTGCTTGTATTTGCATTTGTTTCCCTTCTTTTTACGGGCTCATGATTTCCTTATGCACTTGATTTTTGAGTATTTTTCAAAAATTTTTTTGGATAAAAAAAGATGAATAAATCAGTTTTTTTTTTTTTTCTTAAAATTTGACAAGACATTGAAACTGTCAATTTCTTCATCAAATACAATTTTCTTTTCAAAATAAGTTTTACTGTCTTTGCTGCTTAGGTTTTTAATTATGTAGTTTTCTATCCGTGTGTTTGTGCCTGACTGCTCTACTCTTTAACAGGCTGTTTCTAGAAGAGCTGTCTTACATGAGATGATCAGAGACTATATACAAGCAGCTACTGACCTCCAGAGACTTGTGTCAATTCTTGAAAATAGGTCTAATGAAAAGGGTAAACAGTCTGGCTCGCCATCTAGGTCCACTGGCAGCAAAGAAATAAGGCAAGCTCATCGACATATATCTTTAATGGAAGAGGAAGCTAAGAAAGGAGTCCCCTTGGATCTCTACCTAATCTTGTAAGTTAATCCAATTCGAACCTTTCCGTGTAGAATACTGGACTTAAGGTTTATATATATACACACACACACGACAAATGTATATATGTGTATATATAAATGCTGCTTCTATAGGTTTTTCTTTCTTCTATTATGTGTTTGAGTTCCCCATCTTTCATCATATGTAAAAGTTTCACCCTTTGGCTTTTTAACAGCAGAGGTTTCTCTCAGGATTGCAAGCTGAGGGAACATAACACAACTAAGAAGACACCAATATAAGATGCCATGTGTTCATTTTTATTTTCTTGTTTTATAACCTTATCTTAAATAGTTTCAAACCTACTGCGCCATTACATCTTATACTTTTGCTGAATCAGTTCTAAAGTGCTTCAGAAATCATGATCTTGGAGTGAGAAACCTTGTTTGGTTAAAAATGTTTGTTTCGAAGCAATATAAGTTCAAACTTATTTTGAACTTACATTTATGTTTCAACCATGCATAAGAATGGCTCATTTAATAACTTTTTTCTGAACCAAACAAAGTTTTGAGTTTTTTACTGTCTCTAATTGTGATGCCAGGGGAGTTAAAGCATCTGATGCAGCATCTGATATCAAAAAGGCATACCGAAAAGCAGCGCTTAGACATCACCCAGACAAGGTTCTACTTCTGTGTACTTTGCTGTTTTAATTTATTTGTGATGTTACTGCTATTCTTGTTTTAACTTATTTGTGAAGTTCCACTGTTTTACTTTAGGCTGGTCAGTTTCTGGCGAGAACTGAGAGTGGAGTAGAGGGACGGCTCTGGAAGGAAATAGCCCATGAAGTTCACAAGGATGCTGATAGACTCTTCAAAATGATTGGAGAGGCATACGCAGTTCTTTCAGATCCCACTAAGGTTTGCTATCAACCCGATTCCGGCATGAGAGCTTTTTGTGTGATTATATTCATGATTATGAATTTTGTGCATACCCTAAAGCAAATGATGCATGGCATGAACTTCCACCTCATTATCTGTCTTTTACTTGTTTGTTAATAGTTTTTCAAATCTTTGAAAGTAGCTGAGAAGGTTTTCTTTTGAGTCTTAACATGTTTGTAAATGCATGTGACAATGACTTATCTACACCAAATACACAAATATTGTACAACTAGGACATTATAATTTCTCACAATATATTGTTATTATGACAGTGGAGATTTTGTTGAAATGAACCAAGTAAATCCTTCAAATCTTAGTTAAGCTATTCAATCACTGTTTCAACTGAAAAAAAAAAAAAAAAAATTGCTTTTCTGAGATTTTGGTTGTTCAGTGAATGACATCACTAGATGCATGATGTGCCTATTATGTGTCACAGTTGACATCACTTATTAATTTACTGTCTAAGAAGAATTAAGTCACTTATTCAAAAAGTTTGTATCTTGAATACTAATTGTTTGTTTAATATCCAACTAAGTTCGATGAATTGTTCTACTGTTAACAGCGATCAGAGTATGATCTTGAAGAGGAAATAAGGAAAGCTCCAAAAGAAAGCCATCGAAGTAGCCCTTATGGAAGACCATCAGATGCATATGGTTTCACGTCACGGAGGAGTGCCAATAAACAATACTGGCAGGAGAATTGGAAGAAATATGGTAATTCATATCCACAATGGTAAGAAGCATGTGGAAGAGTTGCTTTAGTTTCCTGTGCAGTTATATTATTTGAATCCTGGAGTTNGTGTGTTTGTGCCTGACTGCTCTACTCTTTAACAGGCTGTTTCTAGAAGAGCTGTCTTACATGAGATGATCAGAGACTATGTACAAGCAGCTACTGACCTCCAGAGACTTGTGTCAATTCTTGAAAATAGGCCTAATGAAAAGGCTAAACAGTCTGGCTCGCCATCTAGGTCCACTGGCGGCAAAGAAATAAGGCAAGCTCATCGACATATATCTTTAATGGAAGAGGAAGCTAAGAAAGGAGTCCCCTTGGATCTCTACCTAATCTTGTAAGTTAATCTAATTCGAACCTTTCTGTGTAGAATACTGGACTTAAGGTTTATATATATACACACACACACGACAAATGTATATATGTGTATATATAAATGCTGCTTCTATAGGTTTTTCTTTCTTTTATTATGTGTTTTAGTTCCCCATCTTTCATCATATGTAAAAGTTCCACCCTTTGGCTTTTTAACAGCAGAGGTTTCTCTCAGGATTGCAAGCTGAGGGAACATAACACAACTAAGAAGACACCAATATAAGATGCCATGTGTTCATTTTCATTTTCTTGTTTTATAACCTTATCTTAAATAGTTTCAAACCTACTGCGCCATTACATCTTATACTTTTGCTGAATCAGTTCTAAAGTGCTTCAGAAATCATGATCTTGGAGTGAGAAACCTTGTTTGGTTAAAAATGTTTGTTTCGAAGCAATATAAGTTCAAACTTATTTTGAACTTACATTTATGTTTCAACCATGCATAAGAATGGCTCATTTAATAACTTTTTTCTGAACCAAACAAAGTTTTGAGTTTTTTACTGTCTCTAATTGTGATGCCAGGGGAGTTAAAGCATCTGATGCAGCATCTGATATCAAAAAGGCATACCGAAAAGCAGCGCTTAGACATCACCCAGACAAGGTTCTACTTCTGTGTACTTTGCTGTTTTAATTTATTTGTGATGTTACTGCTATTCTTGTTTTAACTTATTTGTGAAGTTCCACTGTTTTACTTTAGGCTGGTCAGTTTCTGGCGAGAACTGAGAGTGGAGTAGAGGGACGGCTCTGGAAGGAAATAGCCCATGAAGTTCACAAGGATGCTGATAGACTCTTCAAAATGATTGGAGAGGCATACGCAGTTCTTTCAGATCCCACTAAGGTTTGCTATCAACCCGATTCCGGCATGAGAGCTTTTTGTGTGATTATATTCATGATTATGAATTTTGTGCATACCCTAAAGCAAATGATGCATGGCATGAACTTCCACCTCATTATCTGTCTTTTACTTGTTTGTTAATAGTTTTTCAAATCTTTGAAAGTAGCTGAGAAGGTTTTCTTTTGAGTCTTAACATGTTTGTAAATGCATGTGACAATGACTTATCTACACCAAATACACAAATATTGTACAACTAGGACATTATAATTTCTCACTATATATTGTTATTATGACAGTGGAGATTTTGTTGAAATGAACCAAGTAAATCCTTCAAATCTTAGTTAAGCTATTCAATCACTGTTTCAACTGAAAAAAAAAAAAAATTGCTTTTCTGAGATTTTGGTTGTTCAGTGAATGACATCACTAGATGCATGATGTGCCTATTATGTGTCACAGTTGACATCACTTATTAATTTACTGTCTAAGAAGAATTAAGTCACTTATTCAAAAAGTTTGTATCTTGAATACTAATTGTTTGTTTAATATCCAACTAAGTTCGATGAATTGTTCTACTGTTAACAGCGATCAGAGTATGATCTTGAAGAGGAAATAAGGAAAGCTCCAAAAGAAAGCCATCGAAGTAGCCCTTATGGAAGACCATCAGATGCATATGGTTTCACGTCACGGAGGAGTGCCAATAAACAATACTGGCAGGAGAATTGGAAGAAATATGGTAATTCATATCCACAATGGTAAGAAGCATGTGGAAGAGTTGCTTTAGTTTCCTGGGCAGTTATATTATTTGAATCCTGGAGTTGGGTCAGATTTTAAGTGGCACAAACTCGTTGATGGATACAGAAGTGACTACCTGCCCTCTGGTTGTGCCAGGTAATTGGTCACCGCCTTATAATGGAAGTGACTCTGCTATGGTTCTAAGTATCATATAGCATGTGTGGATATTGCAGATGTTTTGTAGGAGAAACTTGTTTTACATACACAGCTGAAAGAAGAGATCAGGAGAAGGGAGGTAGTTCGTTTGAAATGTTTATGCTTGACAGTGTTTATAAAACAGCCTTTACTAACTCTGGAAGATAAAGGAGTCGGGGTTTTGCTCAGAATAGTTTATACGAAATTTTCTTTGCTGTATATGTATTTACAAATACTGAAGACGTGGTCATTAAAACAAGATGCACGGTTCAGTGATGTAAACCTTATAGCATTGCAGATGTGTCTGCAGGCTTTCATAGCAGTCACATTTTTCCCCTCATCCCTTGTTGGGGAATGATACAAAATAAAGGAAACGGTGAAATGCTTGCTTTTATGTGATTCCTGAATATAAGCCTTTGGAATAACATCAGCCAAGTTTTATGGTACTAGTTGGCTAGTTTTGTTGATTGGGCATGGGCACAAACGTTTGGTATGTTGCTTTGTTTTTATTAACAGTTGTCTGCAAATACCTTTTAAGTTGAAGGCAGAGTGAAAATTGAAAATTGAATTCTGTATTTTTAAATTTGAGAATGCTTTTGACAAAACCTTGAAATCAATACAAACGCAATAATAGATTTGAAAAGCGACATTTCTACGTCAAAATGTTATATGAACACTAGTTTATACAACCAATCAGATATCATAATACTATATTTATAAAAAAATCTTATAAAGAATTGCATATAAAGTGAGGTAGTAAAAAGTGAATAGAAGAGTGAAACAAAAAGTCAAATTCATTAAATTTAATATTTTTTTCATTTTTTGTCACATCACTTTGTATGGAGATTTTTGTAAAATTTCTTTGTAAATGTAACATTATTCAAACAGATTTTAGCACCCTATAAAATTGTTTGTTAGTCTAAAACAATACAAAGTTACTTGTTGCTAGTATTGAGTACGGACATGCCTCCCACTGTTCATTATTTTCTATGCTCAACACAACGTAATTTGAAATAACTAACTGAAGTACTATTCTTTTTTTTCTTTATATTTAATCAAAGTATTAATCTATAATATAACATTAATCTAAAATAGTCTAAATATGAAACTTCCATTTCTCTTATTTTAGAACCGTTAATATCGTGACTTTCTTCCTCAACGTCAACAGCATTTTCTACCTCTTCATTAATCATATAATTTTGATCATTATCAATTGATAATCGCGTTGTGCCTGCTTTCTAATGTAATTATGTTGTGTCATAGTTGTGGTATGGGCAAAAAACCGTATTGCACTCCTGACAACCCAATAACATTTTCCTCCACTTCGGAGACTATCGACATATGACCCAATACCTCGGCCCAACTCCGATTACTCCAATATATTATAACCACGGCTTCGTGTCATGACCTAACTCTGATTGGTCTTTTATCAAATCACATCATGTAGAAGATCTACTACACGAGTTGGTCCAATCAATATGCTAGTTCACTCTAGAAGTCTAACTCTGCAAGCTGGTTACTCTACGAGACATGCCATTTTGCGATATGGGCTACTTTACAAGTCGGGGTCTCTTTACAAATTGGACACAACTACGAGTCAAACTTCTCAATAGAGGTCACGCTCACTATTCAGGACCTCGCTTCCCACACGAATTCTAACTCTCCATGAATTTCGAATCTCATGAGAGTCTAACTCACATAAGGCCTCCAAGTCCCATACAGATTCTAAAATCCAAGGACCCTGAGTCCTACAAGAATTCCAATATCCTAGGGTTCCAAAGTCCTTCACGGATTCTTCCTATTTTGAGCAGTGTTTTAAAAACCGGACCAGAGGGCAACCCGCTATGATGGTCGGGTCACGGTTCAACCTGTCCAACCGGTTGGACCGCCGGTTGAACCAATGGTTTGACAAGTTTAAAATCTAACAAAAATACCCTTGATAAATACCATCAGACCCTATAGGTTTGAAATATAGCAAACACAACCCTGGCCAAATGCAAATCGGCGATCGATTGGGAGAACAGCGGCGACACACCAGGGAGGGTAGATCGGATGATGGGGAGGGTGAATCGGTAGCTAGCAAGTAGAGGCATCGCCGGAAATGACAGATTGGTGGTGGGAGTCAATGGTTGCGATGGTTTTCTTTGGTGAGATGACTGGATCTTCGTGAACGACAGCAAGGGAGCTTGGGAGAAGGTAGATCGGTGGCTGAGGAAGCCTGTTGATGCCAGAGAAGGCTGATCGACGTCGGGAAATGGAAGAAAAATGACGCGGCGAAGGTGGATGACGAAACATCACGCTGCGGCTGGAGATGAAGTGTGATAGCGTTGGAGAAAGTCAGAAGGTGGTTTCCAACAGTAAGGGAAGGTGGAAGGTCGCCAGAAAAAGGGAGGTCATTGCCGATTTGCATTTGGTCAAAGGGTGTGTTTGCTAGATTTGAAATCTTCAGGGATTGATGCGTATTAATCAGGGTTGTGTTTGTTATATTTTAAACTTGAAACAGTTAAAAAGAGTGACCCGACCTGGAGAAGGCCCCGGGTCTCGGTCCAACCGGTTAAACCGGCTGGGCCGGTCCGGGTTTTAAAACATGGATTTTGAGTAATCCTATATTCATGGGAGCTACTATTCCTATTTCCATGAAGACTAGTACTTTGAATTATACAAGGACTTAACCTTCCTTGGCTCCCTAGATAAACAAAGGTCAGTACTCTAGGAAATTCATTTGTTTCCATCCGTCCAAAATCTAGTATTCAATCGATACTCGATATACACATTATTCCCCTACCTATTTTCTCCTTAGCCGTCGTTTTCCATTGTAGAGCCGAGTTCTAACCACTCTGCGACGATAAGTTGTGCCTTAGCTCTATGGGAACGGTAAACACTTAAAACCTAGCATACTTTATGCTCATTCCCGTCATAACCTTTTTGATTTGATCGTAGGAATGCTTATGGCTGACACCACACCGATGTCCTCAAGTCTTCACGTTTATCTTTTGTGTCTCTCTGTAGGTCTTTGATATTGTCAATGGCCTCTACCTTAGAGGATCAATTCCGCAAGGAGTTTCGGTAGATTTAACCATCTATAGTTTGGCGCTCACCATGGGCCCTTGGCAATTATCTAACCTAGAGACGAATTTCATCATGATGGGAAACACATAGCTTCCTTCTGACGACGTTGTGGCCCAGATTGTGGCTCTCACTACGTTGCTGCAAGAAAATGATAGCAAGTTCAAAGCGCCAGAGGATGAAAATGCTGCTATCCGAGCAGAGAATTAGACTTTGCAAGAGAAGGTCCAACAGTTTTCTGCCCTCGAGTCGCCAAATCATCAACAAGAGGCTAGACCTCGCATCCCGATCAACTTGGTGCACTCGTTTGAACAATGGGGATCGTCAAGCCAGTCTCAACTCTCCCAGTCAACAATAAATGGTGTCTTGACCTCTACACTTGCAAGCTCCATAAAAAACCTAGTTGTTGGAGCTAATGACGGATCAATTGGATTTCTGTTGTTCAAGTCATCCAACCCAGTTGTCCAGTCGACTTCGTTCCCACAATACCAATCGACCACGTTCTCGTAGTTCCAAACAACAGGGACAATTGATCGGGCAGCCCTAACCAACCGCTTGACTATACGTATCGTGTCGAGTGGGAGTCCCTTCACATTCGGAACTACTAGTGTAAGCCTTTTTTCGTCAATCGTAACTCCCATAGAGCAAGCAATGGCAAAAAAGCTCGCAAAGATGGAAGCGATGATCTAACAGATTCCTAGGGTACAAACCCAGATAAAGAGGAGTTTGCCATAAAGCTACGATCGACTCAATTGCTCTCGTAGACTATAATGATTTCTTTGTTTTTTATTTGAAAAATAATATGACCCCTTACCATTATTTTTAAAAATAATATTTTGCCACAAAGCTACAGATTCCTTAACAATTGATATAATGGGTTGCGTTAGGTTTTACACTATCAAGGGCTTACAAGGAGTTTGAAGCAATGTTTTAATACCCAATCCAAGGTGAAACTCAGTCAAGGGACCAGGTCCAGAGTTGGGCGGTTGAACTAGGCTGACCGGTGGATAGGACCAATGCTGATGTCAGCATGATTCCATCTTTAAAAATTAATAAATCCCAAAATAAAATGAACAAGCTTCTTTGAAACTAGCAGTTGCTTCATCTTCTTCTTCTTCCTCATAATCCAACTCCTTCACAATAAAACAAACAGTAGCCTACTACATTCAAATTGCAAAAACCAGTAGCCTTCTCTCAAAAACCCAGCAACCTTCTCCATTCAAATCCCAAAATCGAACCAAATCGCATAAACCCAGTAGCCTACTCCATTCAAATCGAAAAAACCCAGCAATCTCCTCCATTCAAATCAATAAATTGATCCAAATCGCAAAAACCAGCAGCCTCCTCTCAAAAACCTAGCAACCTTCTCCATTCAAATCCCAAAATCGCCCCAAATCGCAAAAACCCAGCAGTCTACTCCATTCAATTCGAAAAAAAAAACCCAACAATCTCCTCCATTCAAATCAGAAAATCGATCAAAATCGCAAAACCAACAACCTACTCTCAAAAACCTAGCAACCTTCTCCATTCAAACCCCAAAATCGACCCAAATCGCAAAAACCCAACATCCTACTCCATTCAAATAAAAAAAACCCAGCTTCTATACAAATCGCAAAATTGATCCAAATAGCAAAAAACTAGCAGCCTCCTCTCAAAGACCTAGCACCTCCTCTATTCAAATCACAAAATTGACCTAAATCGCAAAAATCCAATAGCCTACTCTATTCAAATTAAAAAAAAAAAAAAAAACCAGCAAAATCCTCCATTCAAATTGCAAATTTGACCCAAATCGTAAAAACCAACAACCTCCTAGTAGCCTAAAGTGAAAATATGAATAATTGAAGAGATGAAATGAAGAAATCGACAATGGAAGAGAGAAAATATGAGTTAGGGCTTGACAGAGAATGAAAAAATGGGAAAACCGGAATAGAAATCCACTCTTAGGAATTGAAAACCAGGTGTAAGAGTTCACCTGGTTTTCCCAAACCGGTTTGACCAATGGGTTGCTATAGTAACCTTGGCCCAACCACGGATTGAACTGGGCAGGTTGATACCCTTGATTTTTAGGCCTGTTAGGCCCTGTTCAATGATCAATTCCCAATCAAACCGGTTAAACCAACCGGGTTGAGCCAAATTTTAAATAGGGGTGAGTGGTTTCGGGTACCCTGTATTTTTCGAGGGAAACAGAATCGGAACCGTACAGTGCAGGTTCCTAAAAAAAGGAACCGGAACCAAAACCGTACAATATAGGTTCTTAAATTCAAGGAATCAGAACCTAAAATGCAGGTTCCAATTCCTTTCCTGGGTACCCTGTAAAAAATCAATTATCCCCCCATTTAAAAAATGACAAAAATACCTTAAAAGTTTACAAATACACTCCTTACAAATTTTGATTATTCATTCATCTGTGTCCAATGTGATACATAAATCCTCTAATCTCTAGGTAACATTTGAATTCAATCAATTCATCACAATTCACGTAAAATTCCTCAATCAAAACCAAAACACAAACAATTAATTAAACAATAATACTATAAATCTATAATTTAATATTATAATTAATTAAATTTCTAATCATTTAATTAAGTATTGTACTAATGTTTATAATGGAATATAAACCATGATAATTTAGGTGTTTATTTAATCCTTCTTAGCATCTCTTAACAAATTGACACGCAAACCATGATAATTTGGGTGTTTATACCCAGGCGTAGCTTTCTGAAAAACTTACACTTTCTGAAATGGTCGTGACTTGTCCTAACAGATGCTAAGAAGGAAGTGCAGCTTCTTGTTGATAGTTACAGAAAAATTTGTGAAAATGTTGGATGTCCCTTAATGGTTGATGGTTGGACTGATAATTCACATAGGCCATTGATCAATTTTATGGTGTATTGTCCTAAGGGAGTTTGTTTTGTGAAATCAGTTGATGCTTCAGATGTTGTGAAGGATGATGGGACATTGTTGAAGATGTTTGAGGAGATAGCTTTATGGATTAGACCAAATAATATTGTCAATTTTGTCTCAGACAATGGATCCAATTATAAAGTTGCTGGAAGAATGTTGTTTGAGAAATATCCGAGTATTATTTGGTCGCCCTGTGCAACACAGTATAAATTTAGTGTTAAAAGACATAGCTGAGATAGATCACATAGTTTATCTTGCGAGACGTGCTTATGAGGTGACGAAGTTTGTATATAATCATACATTCTTGATAGCTTGACTGAATAAAAGACAGGTAATATACCTTTAGCTCATGTTCTTATCAAGTCATAACATAATATGCATTTTTTATGATTGACTAACATCTATTATTTATCAATTAAACAGGGTTGGAAAGAAATTGTCCGTCTGGGCGTAACCCGTTTTACTACAACTTTCATTGCAATGGGAAGCCTTCATGAGCACAAACATGACTTGCAAGCCATGGTGACAAATAAATCATTTGTTGATTCTCGATATGCAATAAGTAATAAAGGCAAACATGTTATTGGTATAATTCTAGATAACGATTTTGGGATGATATGGGTAAGATATCCAAAGTTGTGAGTCTATTGATGCGCTTGCTGCGGATTGTTGACTCAGATGAGATGCCTACAATAGGATATGTGTATGATGACATGTACAAAGCGAAAAATGCAATTAAGAAGTTGTCTAAGAATAAAAAGAGATTGCACAAGCCTTATACACGAATCATTAAGCTACGTTGGGATAGGACGTTGTGCCATGATATCCCTGTTGTGGCTTATTATTTGAATCATACCTTTAAATATGACGAAGCATCTTTTTGCGCCAAGCCAAAAGTCATGAGTGGTTTCCTTGATACTATTGATAGTAAATCAAGTGCGTTCAATTTGAACAAGACAGGGTTAATGAAAGAGAGTATATTATATTCAAACTGAGAGGAAAGCTTTTCTCGTGGGCTTGCTCTTGAAACCGCCAAAACCACACTCCTGGTACGTAATAGTTATAAAATTTATGAGTTCTTTTGTTTTTTAAGTCTAATTCATTTGTTATGTTTAATTTTCAATTAGATGAACGGTGGAGATCATTTGGGTATAGTACTCCAAATTTGCAAAAGTTTGCAATAAAAATTCTTAGCCAAACTTCAAGCTCTTTGGGATGTGAACGAAAGTTGAGTGTTTTTGAGCGCATACATACTAAAAAGAGGAATATATTGGAGCATTAAAGGTTGAATGATCTTGTTTTTGTTCACTATGACTTGCGTTTGCAAAACAGGTATAAAATATTGTCAATTACTCAATTATGTATCACTCTTATTGTTATTATCTATTATTTTCCCTGATATTTTACTTGTCATGCTTTTAATATTTCATTATGGTATTTTAGGAGATGTTACAAGAAAATAAGTTTCGATCTTATTGATTATGAAAGTATCGACAAAACTGAAGGTTGGATAGTTGACGATGAAGAGGAGGTCAATGAACTTAATTATGAGGAGTTGGAACAAATGTTATATGGAGAAGGATATATTTTTGCTGGAGTTGCTAATCACCCTTCTTTTTATGATTCAACCGATGTTCAGAATGTTGGTTTCAAATATTTAAGCAACTTAGTAGTTATTTTAAATTAAATTACAAGTTTTAACTTATTATTTCTATTTTTTACTGAAATTTATGTAGATGATGGTGATGGTTATGATGATGATGAATTTTGATGCTAGTGTGTGAAGCTCAATCAACATGGAGACTGATCAAAGAAAAAACACTTGCACTAAATGTTTTGTTATTAATTATTATGTATTTTGTCATTTAATATGTAATGGATGAACACAACATCATGTTTAGATTTGGACTTTGAATTGTTGTTAAATACTTAAATTATGTTGGGATTGTTATTGAATTTGAACTTTGAATCATGTTGGACATTAATTAAGTTGTTATTAAAAAATAGAAATCTTAAAATCTCAAAAAAAAAAAAATTTTTTTTTTTTTTTTTTTGCAATGCTGACGTCAGCATGATGACATCACCAGTTCAACCGGTCAGACCGATTGACCCATGACCCGAACAGCTAAGCGGGTTGTCCTCCGGTCTAGGTTTTAAAATAGTGCTTCAAATCCAACAATCCGAAAATGGTTGAGAGAGGAAGATTAAAAAAGGTTCAAGAAGATGGAAAACCTAGGGCTGTAAACGAGTCGAGTCGAGTTTTTGTCTTATCGAGCTCAGCTTGTTTGCTATCGGATCGAGCTCAAGTTCGAGCTCAAGCTTGTCAAGTCAGAGAAAAGGGACTCGAACTCAAACTCAAGCTCGATCGAGTTCGAGTCGACTCGACTTCATCTTCATCATTTGCATCTTTATCACCACCATCTGCACATTTTATCTTCATCTTCATCTTCATATCGTCTCATCTTCATCTTCGTCTTCATCTCATCTTCATCTTCGTCTCCATCTCATCTTCATCTTGCATAGCATCACGAGTTATGCAGACTTATGCTGCTTCCATCTCCATCTTCTACATCTTCATCTTCGTCTTCTTCCTTAACACAACCATTATATTGATTTTGATTTTTTATTATGAATATGCAAGAACAAATTTAGGGGTTAGGGTTTGTCGATTTGGGATATCTGATTTGGAGGTTTAATTTTGTGTTTTAAAACAAATTATATCAGGGGGTTAAATGTCATTTTTACAAATTTTTAAAACTAAAGAATATAGATAAAACTTCAGTCTCCACAGTTTATAAAATATAACAAATGAAACCCTGCTTAGCCGAGCCACATCAAGCTCACAAGCCTACAAGTCGAGCCTCCCCATGTTCGAACTCAACTCGTTTTATATAGCGAGCTCAAATTGAGTTGACTCAACTAACCACGAGTCGAGTCATAAACAAGATTCAGATGAGCTGAGCCGCTCAACTCGTCTAACAACCCTAGGAAAACCTGAAAACAAATCAATCTTACTTAGAAAAAGATGAAAGCTTTTGCTTATGAAGTAGAGTGTTTTGGTCACAAATCCTTATAAATAGAATTTCTCGAGGAATGAGAAGCTTCTCTTTGGAACACATCTAGTTTTCTATAAATGATTTATGATTATGATCCCAACCAACTCAAACTGTCTTCAATTACAACCATCAAAGATTTGCTACAAGGCTCCAAGTAGGAATGCAATAGCAAAAATTTGCCAAACAATTCGGAAGGAAATAATCTCATCAAGAAAGAACATGTTAACCTTTTAAAAATTAAAAAAGTTTACAGCAAATATTGAGAACATAATTATAAATTATCTTACAAAAATACTGGATTCTTTTTCTTCATTCCAACTCCGGAAAAAACAGCAAATGATTGATTACCAGGAAGCTTTAATTTTAACCTAGATATATCAAAACTTGCAACAAGTAAATCTAAGAAATGTCAGCACTGACTTATCGAGCAGCTTGTGTTTGTGCATGTTCCATAAGCTGACTGACTAGCTTGTAGGTACGTCCTGATAGTGCCTTGGTGTGGTCTATCAATTGCTCATACCTGAAATAAAGAGTAAAGCAAAAAGTTAACAGAGAAATCGTGTGGAAGAAGAAAATAATGAAACATGGGAAAGAGCATGCATCATTATGCAAAGATACAATAATGTGTATATATAATCTTACACATTGGGATGGCTAGGCTCCATTATAACAGTTCCTGTCTTTGTATCAATCTTGGCATCAAGTTTTGAGTTCCGAATAAGATTCACAATCCATCTTTCAGCCTCCTCATAATTCAGATTCAACTTCTCAGCAAGCACTCTGCCACATATAAAGAGTGCAAATAAATGTGAATTGCTCTAGTAAAACTTTGCGAGTTGATGAAAGAAACAGGAATTACTGCACAAACAAGTTTTTATATAAAGAGGGAAAGACAAGGTCTTTAAAAAGTAGTTGTATATGGTTTAGTTTCCCCTAGATATGGTTACACATGTTTCATTGGTTCTTACATTGTATTTACAAGTGTACCATACGTAAAATATCATGAGAACTTAAAATTTGTTCATGATGCCAATGTTGTACAGAATAAACCAAACTCTGCGGACTTATCTAACAATATTTACCTATATTTCAAATACTTTTCCTTAGTTTTTTTCATTAAACAGAATAGTGTAAAAGAGCTAAGGTTCAGGAGCAAAGAGGCATGTTATGCAGCAGACACCACTTGCACAGAGAAGAATTGGTAATATTTTGTTTTGCTGAGATACAGATATTCCCAAGCATGTAACTAGAGTAAACAGTTTTAGAAAACAAACACTTACCCCATATCAATACGCTGATGAATTCGGCAATAGGTCTCAAAGATGAACAGCCGAGCATTTTCAAGGAACTCATCTCTCAGTGGCACAGTGGAAAAGTTGCCTTCTTCCAATCGTTTTCCCAGGAAGGGATCATTCAATATAACCTATATTTGCATACAAGGTTAGGACAATCCAGGTCACAGCTTCAAAATTTAGGTGCAGACAACAGAGTTTCTGACAAAATAATAGATATAAAGACTAAAAGGGAAGAGTAAAAAAAAGAATCTATCCCAAACCCCCCAAATCCCAAGTCAGATTCTAACATCTCAACAAAAATGATATGATATATATATATGACTTGGTACTTTCACAAAAATACTAGTGAGAGTCACATTCAGGTAAAGAAAGCTTACTTCTTCACATTCTCTCATCTTCTTTTGTGCACCATCAAAATCATAATTGACATACACACATGCCAAAAACTCTGTAATGGGATCTTTGAAAGAGTACTGCTCTTGCTGTATAACCTTAATAAAATCTTTGAATTGAGGTCTCCTCCTTTTATTGACAATGAAGGCAGTGGCTAAGTAGCGTAGGAGATGGGGAGCATTTGTTTGAATGGCATTGAGATACCTGACAATTGATATTCCCATCTTCTCAGATTGCAAGAAAAAAATAATAATAAACTGATAGTAGGTACAACATCGTTATAGCTTGCAGTAGAAAGTTCAAAAAGAAAAAAACTAATAATGAAAGGGCAAACACAATTATTATGATTAAGGATAATTTTTCTTTGTGCTATGAAACAAGAAATTGAAGCACTACAGAAACAGATATTACTTTTGCTTCAAATCACTACTTCTATACTTGAGACAAGAGTGTGACATAAAAAGTTACGATTCTGGTTACATGAAAAATGACTTCCAATATAACAAAAGAAGGATGTGAAAACAAGACTTCAAAAAAAAAGAAGCATCAATGAGCCATCATGTTATGACAAATCTATGCACTAGAAAATATTCGGCACCCTGATCATCATACAGCAATTTCCATAACAACAAAAGACAATATAAAACAATTCATAGTACAATGATTTCTTGCAAGCGGTTTTCATAGTGAAAATTAAATTTAAAAGCTGCATTGGCAGTAACAGATGAGAAGTTCATCAATTTAATTCAGTAACATCATCATCCTAGAAGCTGTTAGAAGCCCAAACAAAAAAGGAAACAAAAGGTAAGGAAGAAACACATAAGAGATGTACTTGACACTAAGTGAAGCATGATAAATTTGACAAAATAATAAAAGTGTAAACAGAACCAGACAAAAATTGGAAGCGGCATACTTATCCTGATTGAACAAGTCAATGATCTGTGTTCTTCCATTATCATGATTGAAAAAGATGAACAGACTCCAATGCATCAACCATATTCTACTTTGCATCTGACTCAAAGGAGAAGTAAAACTCTGCAACAAAAGTAATGAGTTGGTACAGACATTACACTGAAACAATACTAGGATGCAAGTAAAAACACAAAAATATGTATGAAAAAATTTTCCAAAAGCAAAAACACCTTTGAATCATCAACTTTTTCTTTCAACTGATTAAGTTCTTCAAGAGCAATATCCCAGTTCTGCATCAATATCTCTGCTGCCAACTTTCCCCATAGTGCACTCAACCTCCTTTCACTGTTTGTGCACAAGGCCCTGTACTGATAAAGATAGTCAGCAGCACCAGAGTAGTTCCCACATTCAAACTGAAATTTGGCATATTGATATAATGCCTCTATCTGGTCTGGACCAATCTGATCAAAGGGAACCAAAGAAGATAAATAAATTTCACAAGTTAAATCTACCTAAAAGAGGAAAGCATATTTCTTGCCAGAATAAAAACAAAAAGTTCAAGAATCAAAATGATAAAATAATCAACAGAAACACAGTTAATCCAAGAACTTCTTTCCCCTAGTTTTAAAACCTAAGATATTAAACTTCTCCAAAACATTCACAGTACCAACACAAGAAAATTAAAATTTTCAGCTAACTTGGGATAATCCTTTAGATAGCCATTCCAGATTACAAAAATTGTTCCTTACCCAATCAAGACAACATTTTCTTTTCCAATCTTAGAGACATCCAAAATTAAGTACATAAAACCATCTACAAGCGTATCAAACTAATTAATGAGAACAACCACAAAAAGATTTAAACCAAACATATTCCCAAAACCCTTTATCATTGTATAGCCCAGCCTCCGAATCCAACAACAATAACTCAATTGTACATTGAATAATCAATGCTTTACCCACCGCTTTGACCTAATGAAACTAAAAAAAAAAAAGATTAGATCCATAAGCCCCGAAAGCATACCCAACTTGCAAACAATAATTTGTTCTTTCTTTCTTTCTTTCCCCTCTGTTTAAGCCTTATTTACAGCAGCAGAAAGTAAACTCGATAAAAATCACATTGACCTTCCCTAATATTTAGCTAAATTAAACTTCTACAATATACATTAACTTTCTGTTCCTGAACTCCTAAAGTTTCATAAACCTATCAAATTTATTCACCCCAAGAAAAATAAAAAAATAATAAAAAAAAGCCAAGAAAAGAATAAGCTAACCTGGTAGCGTTCATTAAGCATCTGCAAATTATAATGTTTATCAGGCCTCAACTCTTGAACGGCAGAAGGGTTCTGCAAGAAGGAGACCAAGGGAGCAGCAGCCTCCTCAAGGGCTTTCAATCTGGCGACGACCTCCGCCCTCCGCTCCACCATATCTTGAGGGACATCGTCGGTGTGGTAGAGGCTCTTGTGAATGTCCATGGCGTAATCCACCATGTTGGTCTTGTTCAACAACTCAATCTTGGACTTGAGGATCTGTTCATCTGGGTAAAGCTGGCGTTCTTGGAGGAACTCGAGGATTGGGAAGACGAGATGTCGGTCGAGATTCGGTGCTATGCGCTGCGTGAGGTCGTAACTCGCCATGGCTCTTCGGCTGCTGTTGCTCACAAACAACACACTTCCTAGGTTTTGCTAAAAGTCCCTACTCCCTACTTATTAACTCAATTAATTAATTAAATTATTATTTTTTTTTTTCTGTTTTACTTGCGGAGTGAGGTTAACTTATACCCTTGCAAGTTGCAACTCTGGATTTTAAATTTTTAGGGTACGCAAAATACCCGAACCGGAAAACCGGATCCGAGATTATGATCCGCCAGTACTCAGCGTAGAGAAACAAACCCAGAACAAATTCGGGTCAGGCCCAGGTCCCCTGGTTGGAATTGGCACCGGGTCTGAACCTTGGTCTTAGTTGAAAATTTTAATTATTTTGATTAATTTACTTACGTTAGCGCATCTCGACTTTTTATAACACTTACTAACAACATCTTCAATAATACTCTTTATAGCATCTTTCATATAAAGAAAAAACATTTTTATTAATTTTAAAATATAAAAAACATAATTTTTATTCAAATCTAACAGACTCTTTAAATTTAATAAATATATTCTTTATTTTTAAGAAAGAGATTTAATGAGAGAGAGAATTAATAAATAAAATGTATAGGAATTTGTAGTTTATTAATTAAAATTAGAATAGAGAGCGAAATTTGACTCTCTAAATGTGAAGAGCCAAACTCACTCTCTAATATATATTTTAAAGATAAAGAGTTTGTTAGAACATCTCCAAATAATTCTTTATATGATTTAAACTCTTTATTATAAAGAGTTTATTCATAAAAACAAGAGTCCAACAGGCTCTTTATCTTTAAATATAAATTAGAGTGAGTTTGACTCTCCACTTTTAGAGAGTCTATTGGATTTGAATAAAAAATTTATTCTTTATATTTAAAAATCAATGAAGAGATGCTCTTAAGGGTTAATAATAATAATCCTCTTATGAAAAATATTCTCTTCCGTTATTATAATAACAAAAAAGCTTCTTTTTTTTGTGTTAGAATAAACAAATTAGATACATATTTATAAACTCATCATATTATAAATTTTAATAAACCCATAAAGGGATTTGTGTTATTTCAAAAATCTTTAGAAATTTTTTTATTATTAGATTAAACCTTAGAGTCGACACAAAACCCCTCCTAGATTATATAAATTTGTCCTTTACTACTTTATAGGCTAATATAGTTTACAAAATTTTTATGAAATTTTAGAAACTCTTTTAATTCTTTTCAAATTCATTTAAAAATAACGGTAAGAGGTCATATTATTTTTCAAATTAAAAACAAAGAAATCATTATAGCTAATTATACATTAAAAAAAGAAAAATTATGGTAGGAGAACATAATGAAATTAGATTATTGATGGTTTTATTTCCGTTAATTCTTTACCAATATTGATTCTTTGCGTGATAATTATATTTTTGTTATGAATAAATGTGGATATTTCTTGCGGTTCTATAACTTCCTAATCTTTCATCTTCTCTAACTCTTGAATCTTTCAAGTTCTACAACTTCAAAGTATTTTATAAGCTTTTATTTCATTTATAATATTTCATAATCTTGAGACTATAAACAGATGTATTGTGAAAGATGATATACACTCAACTTTGAAATAGAAAAGCATTGGTTCTATTTTCCTTCAATTATCTTCTCTTTTCTTTTAGTATATTTTATAATACATTATCAACACGGGTCTCTAACCATATCAACTTGTCAAGGGAAAAATATTCTCATCAAGTTTCAAGCTTTTGTCTCTTATCAAATTTGGTGTTGAATTTTTCCATTTTCCAAGTAAGTAAATTCAATTTTGCTTGTATCTCAATATGTTTTATAAATATGTTGGAATGTTTAATCATTTTTATAGTAAAAAATATATGAAAGTGTTTTAATTTGGAACGTTTTGGTTTTATTATAAACAAAACATTATATAGTGATAGATTTATAATTTGATTAATAAAGAAAGACACTATATTTGTAGATATTTGCTTTTATGATTTATGTTTTTAAATGATTAAATTCTATAACTATAATAAGTTGTATGTTCATTATTGTTATTCTAAATTCTTATTTCTGATAATATTTCCATTTTATTAGAGATTGTCTAATTTATTAAATATTTCTTTTATAGTTTTCGTCATGACAAATTTTACGAAACTTGAATTTGTGGTTCTTGATATTATGGGCAAGAATTATTTGTCATGGATTCTTGATGTTGAAATTCACTTAGATGCTATGGGTTTTGTTGACATCATCAAAGAAGGAAATGAATCATCCAATCAAGATAAGGCTAAAGCCATGATTTTCCTTCAACACCATCTCTAGGAAGGATTGAAAACTGAATACCTTATGGTAAAAGATCCACTTATTCTTTGGAAAAATTTAAAGGAAATATATGACCACTAGAAAACTGTGACTCTTTCTAAAATCATGAAGCTCGCCCAACAAGTTCTACTTCATTCCCTAAAGTGAATGTGACAATATATGATAATCATGGGCATGGGTGGTGGTTATAATAATAACCCTTTTAATTATAAAAGCCACTGGAAGTGGAATAATGATGAAAGGAAAAAGGAAAAGAGCAAAAGTGGACAACATAAAAATTTGAAGAATATAGAAAATTTGTGCTATTGATGTGGCATGAAAAGACATTGGTCACGTACTTGTCGTACGCCTAAACATCTTGTTGAACTTTATCAAGCATTATTAAAAGAAAAAGAGATAAACATGAAAGCAAATTTTGCCTACCAAAATGAAAATAGAGAAGTAAATTTTGCTTATCAAGATGATAATTTTGATCATGGACCTATTGCTTAACACATCTGGATATTGTAGATTTCTTCAAAAATCCTGAAGGGAGAATTGATCATTTAATTAGGGATGAAAATGTCCAAAATTGTTAAAGTTATGTTTTTGTGAGTGTTTTACTTTTAATATGTTTAAGTTGAGTGTTTTACTTTTAACTGAGTGTTTTACTTTTAATATGTTTAAGTGTGATTTTCAATTTTAGATAAATTACTTTGTTTTGTTGGCTTTGTAATATGCCTTACTATGTATTTTTCTTTTTGAATAAACAAAAATGAACATTCCTAAGTTTATGATTGGATCCAAGATTAATGATGAAGATCTTTGTCTCGTAGACATTGCTACAATGCACACTACACTTAAAGAAAGAAATATTTTTCTTCTTTGATAATGAGTGAAGCTAACATAAATATGATATCTGGTAGTACAAAATTAATTGAAGGCTCTAGAAGAGCTGATATATTATTGCCCGGAGGAATACAGTTTATTATAAAAGATGCATTATTTTCTTCCGAGTCTAAAAGAAACTTATTAAGTTTTAAAGATATTCGCTGTAATGGATATCATATTGAGACAACCAATGAAGGAAATACTGAATATCTTTATATTACAAGAATAATTGTAGGCAAGAAATGTGTGTTGGAAAAATTACTTGCTTTTTCTTTCGAATTGTACTACACAAATATCAATGTATTTGAAACATGTGTTATAGTAAATCAGAAGTTTAGTGATCTTAATACTTTTATTAATTAGCATGATCGGTTAGGCCATATTCAATAACGATGCGAAGAATCAATGAGAATTCACACGGACATCCATTGAAAAACCAGAAGTTTTTAATCTAATGAATTTTCTTGTGCTGCTTATTCTCAAGTTAAATTAATTATTTGACCATCACTAGCTAAAATTGGGATTGAATCACCTACATTTTTAGAATGAATTCAAGGTGATATATGTGGACCCATTCATCCACCATGTGGATCATTTAAATATTTTATGGTCTCAGTAGATGCATCTACAAGATGGTCCCATGTGTGTTTATTATCTGCTTGCAACCTGGAGTTTGCAAGATTACTTGCCCAAATAATTCGATTGCGAGCACAATTTCCAAATTATACAATTAAGACAATACATCTTGATAATGCTGGTGAATTTATGTCTCAGATTTTTAATGATTATTGTATGTCAATCGGAGTAACGGTTGAAAAGTCTGTTGCCCATGTTCATACACAGAATGGTTTAGTAGAGTCATTAATTAAACACCTCCAATCAATTGCTAGACCATTACTTATGAGAACCAAGCTCCCAAGTTCTGCTTGGGGACATTCTATTTTACATGCAGCAGCACTTGTGCGCATTAGGCCAACAAGTTATCACAATTTCTCCCCTTTACAATTGGCTTTTGGTCAAGAGCCAAATATTTCCCATTTAAGAATATTTGGATGTACGATATATGTTCCAATTGCTCCACCACAACGCACTAAAATGGGTCCTCAAAGAAGATTGGGAATATATGTTGGATATGAATCTCCTTCTATAATTAAATATTTAGAACCATTAACAGGAGATTTATTTATGACATGATTTGCTGATTGTCATTTTGATAAAACAAAATTCCTAGCATTAGGGGGAGATAATAGGTAGTTGGAAAAGGAAATTACCTGGAAAATATCATCATTATCTTATCTTGATCCTCGTACTAAACAATGTGAACAACAAGTTCAAAAGATAATTTATTTGCAAAAGACAGCAAATCAGTTGCTAGACGCATTTACTAATTCAACTAAATCTCACATACCAATTGCAAATGCTCCAATTCGGATTGATGTCCCTGAAGGACAATTACCTGTAGCAAATGAATCTAAGGCACGTTTAAAGCGTGGTAGACCAGTTGGTTCAAAAGATACAAATCTTAGAAAGAAAAGAGTAGCAAATGACCAAGATGCTTACATCAAGAAGGCAAGTTCTCACGAAGAGAATAGAGACATAATTAATCATGAAACTCCAGAAGAAGTTTAGGTTACTGAAACTAGGACAAACGAAGAGATCTCAATAAATTATGTCTCTACAAGAAAATTATGGAATCGAAAAGAAATAATTGTCAACAATATTTTTGCATATAATATAGCGCTTGATATGTAAATAATAATGAGGATCTTGAACCTAAATCTGTTGAAGAATGTAGACAGAGAGAAGATTGGCCAAAATGGAAATACGAAATCAAGGCAAAACTGAATTCATTAGAAAAATGTGGAGTTTTTGCACCTGTAGTCCGAACACC